GTTCAGCAGATGTGAGTTGCTTTTTTTCTCCTGATCTGGGTTGTTTTCCTTTTATTCTTTGGTGTTCTGTTCGAGGCATGACGTTTTTTTTGCAGACATCAGGACACCATAAGCCATGGAGAGAGATTTTCCCCCCTCTAAGAGAGCTATGCAATTCCAGAGAAACAAGTGTTTTGTAGTTGGGGATTTGTCCCCAGAGCGAGACTTGTGCTCTGCATTGCCAATTAAGTTGGGCAGCGCTTGGTCAATTGGGAACTCGCCTCCCACTCTCTTCTGCCAGGGGATGCTTTCCTCATCTGATTGCAGCAGGGGCAAGAGCTGCCCTGTCCTGTGCCTCCAGGCGGTTTGCCTGGACTTCCATTTGTTTGCTTGATTCTGTGACCTGCAGGTGGAAAACAGGGGAGTGGGGATCCTGCTCAGCTACCTGCGGTGGAGGCACCCAGACTCGCTCTGTCTACTGCGCGGCCTACGATGGTCAGAGCGCCCAAGGAGTGGTGGATAATGCCGAGTGCATGGCCTTTGCACAGCAGCCTCGTAGCAGTCAGCCCTGCAACATGAGGCAATGTGCAACCTGGAGCATGGGGCCCTGGTCAGAGGTGAGTTTGTGTGTGGGAGACTGCTGCCAATTGGCGCCTATTGAAGGAGTTTCTACCAAAGTCTGGCGTAAAGAACCAGGCTCCTTTTCTGGGGCTGTAAGAGGTGTGTGTCCTTGTGTAGGTGGGGTGCAGAGATGCAGGACTTGTCCCTGCAACACTCCGAACAACTTCTCCAGGTAGCTGGCAGCTATGCTCTCCTATGCTTACCCCCCTGTTCCTCAAAACTGTGCCTGCCCCCACATCCCTCCTCCTCCTCCTTTCCCCATTCCTGTATTTTTATCAGACCAACCAGCTCCGGCACTGGCTGAGTGTCTAAGCCAGGCCCAGCAGAGGCAGAGGGCAGGCATGGGAGATGCTATCCATCAGCCGATGATACGCAGCAGCGCTCTCCTCTGCAGAACAGGAGCTTGCAGCTCTCACCTGTGATAATTTTGTTTCCGTGCATATTGCTGCATCAGCATTACTAGACTCAAGACAGTAGTGTTAAAATTAAAACAATCAGCAAGCAAGATGCTCGTGAACCGCTGGTGACCTGCTGTTTGACTGTGTTTGCTCTAGGCTGTGTGTCAGGGCAGGGCTCCTCTGGGCGCAGTTGTGCTGTGTGTTGTTGGTGCCTGTGTGCAGTTATATCTCCAGGAGAGGAAACCCTTCAAACTACGTGTACTCAGTGCTGCCAGCCAGTCATTTAGAAGGCATCTTATGTTCCACAGACTTAGGAAGTAAAGATAGAAGATCTCACTGAATTGTGTCTAGTCAGTCCCTAAGACACAAGTACATTTTCCTCTTTGAAAAGCAGTACATGCACACTTAACAGCGCCTGACTTAGCCTCTTATGATGCTACTTTGTGTGAGTGGCACAGCATCATAAAAATGCAATTTCAAGACACGATACCCTAGACTGTAGCATCTTTTTTTCTTTTCCTGTGAGATGCAGGGTGTAAATATTGAGATGACTTCAGAGTTGCAGACTGGGAGCACCATTTGGGGAAGGCACTGAGTGTTGTGGTCTTACAAATGGATTCTGAAGTGATTCGTTCTGGGGTTCCCAAGACTGACTATGCTTTGCGTACTCTGAGAAATGAAAGGTTAGGGCAGCTCTAGTGAGTGGCTAAGACTCGTCTGGGAAGTTCGTCTAAAGCCGGTCAGACTGCTCCCAAGTTGCTGCTCTCTGTAAAGAGACCTTGGTAATTCATGGAGAAGCAGGCTGGATTCCAGGCAACACCACTGTGAATGTAAAAGGGCATTAAAAATGTCACAAAACAGTTGCTTGTATAGAGGTTTTGTCAGAGCTGCACGCCACAGAAGTGGAAGACTGGCTTTTTGGGCATAAGACATGAGCAACACAGAAAACTAATCTTTTTACCTTCCCCTGAATTCTTTACCTTGGACTGATTTTAATTAGGAGTAAATAACATTAGGTTGAAAGTGTCCCCTGCCATTTATTGTTCTCAGTGTATTTTGGAATATTGTTTTTTTGTTTGTTTGTTTTTCAAAATGATTCTCCCGGTCGTCTTTGGCAGAGGGAGGGAGAGAGAAATGACGTGACTTGCCCAGAATCATCCAGTATACCTAAGGTCTCCCAGGTGCAGTTTACAATATGTTATTGTCTCTTCTGCAGTATGAACAAATACTCCACCAGCTCCCATCTATGAGGATGATTTTTATGGTGGTTGCTTGTTTTAGACATTCTGAAAATGGTACTCGGTCCTCATTTTGGGGAGTACAGCCTGGAAATGCAAGTGGTAATTAGGTGTTTCCTTTTAATTGTTGGGCCCCTTTCTTTAGTGCTCAGCCAGCTGTGGGGAAGGTGTGCAGACCCGGACTGTCACCTGCAGAACGCAGCAGGGCTCTCAGGCTCAGGACTTTGCTTGCCAGATAGAGCCAAAGCCATCAGCCACCCAGCCCTGCCTTCAGGAGAACTGCATCCAGGAAATTGGCTGGCACGTTGGAGATTGGGGCCTGGTAAGCATGGCGCTTTCGCAGTTCAGGAATAACTGACTATATCGTTGTGCTCCTCGCAGACAAACTTTGATCAGAGCAGTCTGCACATTGGCTGAGACTGGGAGCATGTAGTGCTTCATTACCAGTCCCTTGGCTCACAGTTGCATTGTAACTGGCACTAGTAAAGCTCCAGTTAATCTGCAGCCTGCTTTGTTTGTGGCTGCTACTAAAATAAATCCTTCGGGGGGAGGGGGGGAGGGGATTATAGTTTCAGTGACAGTAGCAAAATGCAGCCAGTAAGCTGAAACAATCCACTCTTGCTGCTTATTCCTGATTCTCTGCACCATCACCATGAATAGCAGAGCAGCTCATTGACCGAGTATGGCTTAGAGCCCTGGGCTTCAGGATTGGTCATCACGTTTGGTGAAATGGTTTAAAGTATGTTTTTGTAATTGTTCAGATAAACTGTGCTTCAGCTGGATTAACCATGTCTTTGTGGAGGGAACCAGACTGTTTTCAGCCTGGGAAAAGTGCCGCGGGGAGGAGCTGGGGTAAATCCAATGCATCACATGACTTCCAAACGCAGCGTTTTCCCTTCCATGCTAGCCAGACCAACTTGTTCTGGGTTAAAACATGTTGCATCTGGTTCTTTGTGTGATGTAGGCAAAGTTTTAATAATACCTAGAAAAGTTGCGTATCGTAATCTGATCTTTCCTGGCCCCTGGCTTTCCAATATGAGAAGGGTTCCTGCCTGTATCTGAAAAAAAGAGAGCAAAAATGCTCTCCCAATATTTCTAAAGCTTGCCATGAGCAGGTGAGTTACACAGATACCTCATCCTCTCTGTTCCCCTTGAGTTGATGTTCGTGCCTCCTTTGTCATCCGCAGCTTGCAGTGAGGGGAACTCCAGTTAGCTGCTTACTAGGAAGCCACCAGTTTGCTTTCCCATCATAAACTGATGCCTGTTCTTGTTGAATGGGGAGTTCACAATTGACCCTCTCACAGCTGGTGGATCCCAGGAGCACTGAGATGCTTCTAGGCAATGCTGAAATGATTCACTCCTGCTGCTCTGAATAGCAGAACAACTCCTCTGGATGTGGCAGACTGAGCATGGCTTAGAGCCCAGTGCTTCAGGGCTGGGCACAACATTTGGTAATATAATTTAAAGTATGTTTTCGAATTGTTAAGATGAATCCAGCTGAAGTATCGTTTGCCTTGTCTTGGTGGAGGGAGCTGTGCTTGGTGTGCAGCCAATCATGTAGCTTCTGGTCCACGGGTTTGCTGTCTCTGCTGCACGCTCACTCACCTTTTCTCTGTGCCTAAGTGTTCGAAGAGCTGCGATTCAGGCATCCGGACGCGCCAAGTCATCTGCGCTGACGGCGACTCCAAATTCTACAGTCCTGAGATGTGCAAAGCCGTCCAGCCGCAGAAACCAGCCACACTGGGTAGCTGCAACATGCAGCCCTGCTACCTGCCACAGCGTGAGTGATGTTGCTAGACACCTAGCTTTTCCTAAGGTGCTCCCGTTTAGGAGTAGAAATTCCCAGGATTTCACACTAGCTTGTGTTCTCAGTTCCCTTCCTGCCTCTATCTTGTGTCTTTTATGTTTTGTGCACAGAAACATAGCGCCTTCAAGTCAGAATCCCAGTACGTGTGTTATTTGAAATATATGTAACAGACTTGGGAATAACACTGGTGGTGTCCGTTCTGAGCTCAGTATTCTGTCATAGGTCTTTCCCAGTTTATTCTGTGGACTGACCCCAGGAGTTAAGAAGGATGGCGTGCTCAGTGGCTAGAGACTGTAGACATCTCATCTCTCTGTGAATCAGGCACAAAGGAGACAACTGTTCAGATTTTTTTTTTGCTGTCTATATCTAGTCCTCGTGCCCCAGCTGAAATGCTCACCTTTGTCTGCCTACCCATCACAGGTGATCCAGTCAATCCAGTTGCTGTTCACTAGCTCTTCCAGGAGAATAGGAACATATTCATCAGCTGCAGTGCCCTGTTGACTCTTTCAGTCTCCCGTTCATGCGTTTGCAATTCTTGGAACATAGGGCTGGACTAACTGCACTAATTTTGTGCATGTTTTTCTTTGCAGAGGTCCCCAGTATGCAGGACACGATGGGATATGATGTCACCCGCCAGTCCTTGCTGACGCGTTACAACCCAAACAGCCCTGCCACAGGTTAGGAAGGATTATGTTTGTGTTTTTGGTGATGGTGGATGTGAAACAGGGTGTGGTAAGGGAAGGGCTCCTCCTTTTCTCCCTTCCTCTCGTCCTCTTCATGGGCTTGTAGAAATTCATGGAGCCAGGGACAAAGGATGGATTCATTTACACCAATAGTGAACGCTATCTGAATGCGTGCATACAGAAGACTGTGCAATATATAGATCCCAGTTTCTGGCAGCATGACTTAAGTGCTGGCTGAGAAAAATGCTGCCCAATGCAGATCACAGGAAGAAGATAGGATCGTGTGTCCACTGTGAGAGGACCACAGTAATGTGGCAGGTGATTTCTCATGGGACAGCAGGAAGAATGCTCTCAGAGACTTTTCCTAAGGGCAGTGAGGAAAGGAACCTCAGGACAACCAGATCCAGAACGGTGGGCCAAAAGACGTGCTCGGGTGAAACCCTGATACAGAAAAGCCTGCCCTGTAGCCTGTGCCTGGTAAAGGAAAGGAGAGATGAGGAAAATTGACCAGATCTGATGCTAACCTGCATGCTTTAAGGAGTTCTCTCCCCAGATTCTGGTGATGAAAGGACGCTCCCTGGGAGCTCCATGGTCCGTAGTAGCTCTGGGAATCACCACATTCAGTCCACCGAGGACCGTGGCACCAACTTCTTGCCGGTTCGCTGGGAATCCCAGTCACGCTTATCAGGTTCCCGACAGCTCAACTTCCCTCAGGACCTCGCTGCAGGGACCGGCTCTCAGGACTGCTATCGGAGCCCCCACGGCTGCTGCCCGGATGGGCACACTCCAGCTTCAGGCCCTCTGGGGAGAGGTTGCCCCTTTGGCACCTGTCAACGAAGCAGGTAGCTGGAGGTAGATAGGCCTGAGCAGGGAAGCATCGCCTTTCCTGGGGGCTTACTGATGTTTAGAGGCTGTGCTTGTTGAGTCAGGTAGGTCAGGTCTTGCTGCAGCCCTTCTGTGCTCTGCCTGCAGGTACGGATGCTGTCCTGACGGAATATCGTCTGCCCAGGGTCCAAACAACATGGGATGCCCACAGCGTTACAGAAATGTTCAAGTGAACAGAAGTCAGCCCACTGCAGCCGCTCCAACAGTAAGTACAGAAACTCTCTGGGTTGTAATAGCCCATCAGATAGCAGGATTCGGATCTGGCAATGGTGACTCAGATTATAGGTTTCTATTGTACTTCATCTCTGCCAGTAATGCTGGAGAACCAGTACTCCATGCATGGCATCAGGTCCTCTGACCAACTTTGCTCCTGCTCAGTCTGGTGGATCCACTGGTGATCCTCTGTAAGCAGGAGACAGAGTGGGAGCATGGCTGCTGTCTGAGAAGCAGCAGAACATCTTTTGTAGAACTGGCTGAATAATCCTGAGTAGTCAAATTCCTGTCTGGCAGATGCTTGCCATCCAGTTTCCAGGGGGAAAAAACGGGAAGTACACTGCCACTAGTAATTACCCTTGTTGTTCATCTCTGCAAACTAATCAAAGGCAAAATAGGGGTCATAGCTTGGGGTGCTTGGTGGGGATAGCTGAGAAAACTGGCCTGCTGCTGAGCTGGCTGGATCTGTTTTGTGAAGAAGTGCAACTCTGGCGCCACAACTGAAAGCCAAGTTCCCCCCACCCCAGTGTGAAAGTCTCTAGGAAGCAAACAAATGAACAGTGGTTCCTCTAACAGCTGGCCTTCTGCAGCCGACAGCTTGTATACGGTGCCTTGCACGTGCTACTGTCCTCATGTCTGCATGGTAACTTTTGGCTTTTGATTCCTGTCTCTAAGGCAAGCCAAGCCTTGTCCCAGCAGCATCCCTCAGGCGAATGCCGCGCTTCGATGTACGGCTGCTGTTTTGACAACATCGCTTCAGCTTCAGGCCCTCAAGGGGAAGGATGTCTCAGTAGGCCCAGCTACCGTAAGTGATGCTTTGGCTTCTTGATTTAGAAATGTAGGAAGAGTTGTACAGCATTCAGCAGGCTACGAGACACTTCCCGTGCAGAGGCTTTGCTCTCTGTAAAATATAGTAAATCATCTCCTTGCGAAGAAGTCCTGCCTGATGATTCAGATAAGGAGAGGTTTGAGGGAGCATATAGAAACTGCCATATGGTTCAGTTCTGTGGTCCACGACAGAAATTCTTGTCATCCTCCACTCATATTTTGACAGACCCAGATTCCCGTAACCTCTGTTAGTTTGTAGGACTCCTGGGGTCTGTTTACCCCGAGAGGACGCCCTGATGCTGCCTGCAGCATTCCAGATCAGTTACCTGGGTTTAGGAGAAGTGGAGCCTTTGTACAACTGTATCTGATCCGCTTGCTCTTTGGGCTGGAAATGTGCCTTGTGCCCCTTGCAGGGGGAGGAAGTCCTAGCGCCGACCTCCCAGTGGCAGAATTCCCTGCAAAAGGCTGTTAAGCGTCAGTCTAGTATCTAATGTCTAGTCAGTTCAGACTCAGAAATGTTCCTGAGGTTGGTTCTCCTTCTGTCAGTGTGAAAACGGGGGCAGAAGGAAACATCTGAGCAGGTGACCTGAGTTCAAAGCAGAGTTCAGTGCAGAACTCGGGCGTCCTACTTTCCGGCCTGCACCCTGCGCACAAGGCCCATCAGATCATCTAGGTAGACGCTTGAAGCAGCCGAACCCTTGTGTGTCATGACCCTAACATCCCACCTTGTTCTGCTGTTTTTGATAGCCTTTCCTGTCATATGCCTGCTGCCTAGTGCCCACGGCCCCTGCACAGACTGGACAACTCGCTGGTACTTTGTGGCTGTTGTTGGCAGGTGCAACCGTTTCTGGTACGGCGGCTGTCATGGCAATAAGAACAGCTTTGCCTCAGAGGAGGAGTGCATGACAGTGTGCCAGGACCCTGCGGGGGTCAGTCCCCAGCAGCACCAGCATGCTCCTCGCGCAGGGACCCTGCAGCGCCAGCACGCTAATTCCCGCACTCGCCAAGGGGATGCTCAGGGCCAGCAGCAGCCATCCCTGAGAGAGTCTGCAAGTCACAGCCAAGAAGGAAGAGCCTATGGGGCTTTGCACTCCACACGAGACAGCCGCAGGGTGGACAGCTGGAGAAGCGATGTGCTGCCAGAGTCTTTGCCAAGGACTGGTGTGCTGGACAGCCGGCGCTGGGGTGCACAGCGCACTGAGGGTGGTGTAGAAAGGAGACTGGACCACCTAAGCCAACCACACGTGGTGCAGGAAACAACAGTGTCTGAGCACTCAGAGAGGCAGAGTGGCAGTGGCCGGCAAGCACTGCCCCGTGAAGGAGAGCAGTGGCATAAGGCTTTTGGAGCAGATGCTTCCATGACGGAGGGACTTGGGCACCAGGCATCCGCAGGCTCCTTCCCAGCACGAGCTCTGCGCAGGTGATTTTTTTCTGCTCTGCCAGCTGATGGTGAGCCCCAGTGCAGCTTCCCCTGGAGTGGGAGTATTGCCCCATCCAGGACTAGCTAATTGGGAATACCATGCAACAGATTGGCTCTACATATGTCCCTTTGGAAAATCAAGTTATTCAGGCCCTGAGGATATCTGATCTCTCTTTCCTTGCACTCTTCCTACTTTCTGTCAGCACTGGAAGTACTGTCTGTGAAAGGACTGCAGGATCCTGGAGCCCTTATTTGGGAGGCGTTATTTTGCTATGAATGTAAATCCATAGGCATTTTACTTGTTCCCACCAATTTGTTTAGCTAACTCTGACTTTGGAGCCTTTACTCAGCACTGCATGGAGCAGCAGTGGGTTGTTCTAGGGAGGACTTTCAGGTATGGAGTTTGGGTCAGGGACGGTGTCACCCTGAAAATTAGGAGTGTGTAGAGCTAGATCAGTGTGTATCTGCACAGAGACCACTTGTGGTCCCAAGAGCTGAAGTCAGTTCCTTCAGAGGAGAGAAGCTGGAGGAGTCCCTACCTCTGCCCTGGAGTTCTTGCAGCATTCAGTCTGTCCAAACCATCCTTTGCCATGTAGGAGAGGGCTGTCCGCGTGTTATCTAGTGCATCTGCTCAGAGTTGAATGGGCAGCAAGTCCTGCTTTGCGCTGTGGGTCGTGACTGTCCTCCAGAGTTGCATTAGAGGACCTAGAGAAGAGGAGGGCAGCAGAGGTACAAGTGATGAAATTGCTTTTTCTTTCAGAGTTGTCCTGGAGGAAGGCAGGCCTTCTCTTCTGACAGCAGCTGTGGGCCAAAACATCCAGCTGTTCTGCAAGACAGGCACATTCCCCTTCTCCAGAGTGGAGTGGATGAAGGATGGGCGGCCGGTCTCCTCTGACAGGTTAGCTCAGCTCTCCTCATTTTAGAGCAGAGTTCACACTTCTTGCTGGGCAGGGTGCCAAATACGCTTGCCCACTTTCTTTGTAATCTCATTGTTAACGTTCTTAAAAAGGAAAAAAAAGTTAATGAATAAACAAGCCCACGTACTGCCCTAAGAGAGCCCCCTGTACATGAGCTCTCTGCCTGGCCTGTGCGCAGCAGGGACAGATAAGCTCTGCAGTAGCACCGAGGCCTTTGCCTAGTGTTAGGGGGCAGAATGGGTGCTGCAAGGCACCAGCGAGAGCTGATGCGTGGGCAGTTAGACAGAAAAATACAGGCTGCGTAGGATCCCTCTTGGGGCAGCACTCAGTCAGTAGTCCAAGGTGAAGTTGGCAGCCAAATGACTCAGAGTTCCTGTGTCTGGAAGTTTCTTTTACTCCTACCTAAAATGTAATGTTTTTTAAACTATTTTTAAAGCCTACTTTTCCTGAGAAGTTCTGTTTCCTGTAGCAGTTTGGAGCTAAACAGTCGTTTTGTGCTATGGAAATCAAAGTTAAGAACAGTGCCCTTTTCTGCTTTTCTGTTTGCAAATGACTGGGGGGCTCAAGCCCCTGCCTGGAAGGGTAGCTTGCCTCCTCATAGGAGAAGACTGCTGAAAGCAGCTTCCTGTTTTCCCATCTCAGCTTTCTCTCTGCTCCTGACCTCTTTTCTGCCTCAGTTATTTTCCCTGCCCATGACTCCTCCTCTGTGGTCATTGGGGTTTTGTTTTTCTAAGCTGGCACTACATATTCGTGGTTGTAACATCAGCATGAAGGGCCACCAAGCCCTTGGCTGGGCAGAGGGAGCTAATCCCTACCCCTGTTACAGGCACACCTACCAGTCTGACAGCTCCTTGGTGATCAGCCACATCAAGTCGGAGGACACGGGGACTTACACGTGCCTCATTTCCAACGGGAGGACAGAGAGACCGGAGAGACGACAGATTCAGTTACAGATCCTAGGTGACTTATCTTTCACTTAAGACCAAAGTGGTAGCCCTGGGCTCCTCCTTGACAGTCATTGACAACAGGAGCGATTAAAGCCAATTGCAGGAGCGAGTGGAACTTCCTCTGCTGCCGCGCTGTGCCGGCAGCATTGCCTTCGCTCTGTGGCAATGCCCTCCTGAGAGCTGGTCGCAGCAGCAGGTCTCCTCCGCTGTGGGGCTGCCAGGGGAGCGCGGAGGCAACAGGACTCCCTTTGGTGTTGCTTCATGATAAAGCCTTTGCCCTAAAGCACTTCCTCAGCTATAGTGCCACCCCTTCCCTGGTCTTGTGGCTTGCTGGTTGCCAGCCCCGTTTCCAGCACAGTGATAATGTCATCCTGCCTGAGCACCGTCGGCTGCCTTCTGATCCGGGACAGGAGGCTCCAGCAAAGGGGTTTCTGCAGTTTCCCAGGTCCTACCTCTCACATTGTAAGGCAACAGGCTGGCCTGTTATGTTTTGTATTTTGCCCAAACAGGTTCTTCTGCTACCTCCTGGATAACAGACTACTCCTCATTTTGAAAAAATGTGCCTTATTTAAAAAATAAAAAAATAAAAAAGATTAGTCTTAAAAGATGGGCCAGCAGCCACCCTGTGGCCTCTGATCTCTGAGATTTGTTTTGTCACAGCAATGGCACATGGGCAGAAGGCATTGTGGCCTAAGGGATGCTGCAACTTATCCACTGACAGAGGAGAGAAAAGAGTCTAAAATTGCATGCCTGCAGGTCTGTGGCTCCCATTAATAGGTGGTGCAGGCTTACTGCACTAGTCAGCCAGAAAACAGATGGCTGCAGGGCTCTTTGGCCCCAGTTCAGCAAGCTCTCCCAAGCTCATAGAAACCCTACGCAAGACGACACAGTGTGAAGGATCTTTTTATTCACATAATGCATTTTGTTTTGAATAGAGTACCAGGGTGCTGTTCTGGCAGAGAGAGAGAGAGGTCGGGCCGTTTACAAGGAAAATGAGCAACAGCGAGAGCTATCCAGAGGCAGTAAAATTGTAGAGGCAGCCAGTTCCTCTGTGCATCAACAACTCACATACAGGTGAGTTCGCATACAGCAACCGTTTGTCCACCATGCCCAGCTGATGAACCATATGGCATCTTGATGTAGGAGCGCTGAGGGCTGGTAAGGTCCTGGGTCTAGATTGAAAGGAAAGTAGAAGTGTGAGGTGCTGCACCCTTAGCTGTTCAAGCTAGTGTAGTCAGAAAGAGAAGCCTCTTCTGGAAAGAGAGCAAAGCAAATGAGACTAGCATAAAATATATATATATTTTTTTTAAAAGCTGCAGATACTTTAGGCCCCACCCACTTGTCTTAAACATTTTGTGAACAAACCAGTTTGATTCAAAACTTATCTCCTCACCAGAAGCTATTTTGTAGCTTCTGTCATGTTTCTGTGGTGGTACTTGACCCTGCGGAAATGAAAGGGTAAAAAAATTCCATTTGCCCGTAAATGCAGCCTGATGGGGCTCTAGATTAAATGCGACCATGATCTGATGATCCCTTCCTTCTTTTGAGTTTGCAGACCTAAAACCCAGCCAATTTGCTGAACATTCCAGCAACCTCCTTAGCTGCTTCTGCCCTTCTGCAGAAATAAGTGATTCATTGAATTAAGAGCACTGAATTAAGGCTCTTTGGTTTTGTTTTTTGAGATCAAGAATTCAGGTCAGAGAATGGGGGTGGGGGAAACGATGCTTTCTTTGACTCTGAGAATGTCAGGGTTTAGTTCCCTTCTGAAATGGTGTTTATCTGTAGTTACAAGAGAGCAGAGAGCACAAGCAGGTGAATAGTGCGAGAGCCTGAGCTCAGCCTTTCTGCAGAGCGCAGTGGATGACCAGCTCCCAGGCCTTGCGTGCTGTCAGACAAGTGATTGCAGTGGGCTCTTCACACCCTAAAAAAAAATTTGCTCATTTTTGCGTGCCATACAAGCACCTTGGGGGAAGCTTGCTTAGTGCTCTACTCTCCAGGGCTTTGTGCCGCTCACCATGCGCTCCCTTTTTAACACTTCTTAGGCTGTGAGCTGGGGGGATGCTATGGGATAGAGAGATACTCTGAGCTGCTGTTTCTAAAGGGTTAAGGATTTGATGGAGACTGCTTTTTTCCTGGGAGTGGAAGTTAGTAACAACAAATATCCAAACTCTGAGGGAAGGGCAGAGGCTGCCCTTTCCCATTGGAAGCCCAAAATAAGGCTTACAATTAAAACAAGACCTTGTGTTGAAGGTCAAACACTGAACACGGAAGTTGCTGCATCTTTTGCAATGCTTGTGGATGTGTGCTTTGCAGATTGCTAATGGATAAGAGTGAGCCCTCGGTAATGGAGGCCAATGTTGGGGAGAGAGTCAGACTGCCCTGCACAGTGGAAGCGTCGCCCACTCTCACCATTGAGTGGCAGAAGGATGGGCAGCCCCTCTCCTCTCCCAGGTGAGCCCCTGGCTGCTCCAACACATGCCACAAGCAGGTTCACCAGGAGGAGAGTCCTCTTCTCCCCCTGCCCTCCCTGTGTCTCCTCCCTGAGAGAGCGGAGCTGCTGGCCATGCAGCTAGGACCTGTCCTGCTTCATGCCGGGCAGCTTCGTCTGCTGGGGCCAGGCAAGTACTGTGCAACTTCCCTGGCCTCGCTCACAGAGCAAAGCCTCAACAGCAAACCCTCAAGTGAACAGCTGTGATACAGGGCGCACAAGTGAGCCAAAGCTGAAATTTGTTCAGCTACAAGATTAGCAGAAGGAGGACACATGGCAAGTCATTTTGCCAAAAAACAGCTGGTCAGTGAATGAGGGGACATATTTACTAGTGAAAAGATTGGGGCACCTGCAGTGAATTTTTTTCCTGGGTACTGATGCTGCTGTCCTGCAACTCCTCTAACTCCCTTGCTCCCAGAGGGCCTGCTCTAGCAGAGAGCTTTTCCAGAGGCTGCGGCACTAGTGCTGGGATTTGAGGACGGGGATTGCATTATAGTTAGAACTGAACTGCTGCTAAACCTTTTTTTGGAGGGTGTCACCAAAAAGCTGTGCACAGGGCTTGGCTCCAGCTCTGGTGGCTGGAGTCCTGTCCTGGGCCACGCATTGGCTGAGAAGGTTTCTGGCTTTGTCCTGCAGGCACAGGCAGCAGTCAGACGGGGCCCTGGTGATCAGCCGGGTCAGCCCTGAAGACACTGGCTTCTTCACCTGCATCGCCTCAAATGGACGTGACCAGGACCAGCGCCAGGTCCTGTTCCGACCTCTAGGTACCAGGCGGGTGGAAGTGCTACATGTTTGTGCGCACGCACATACACACACACGTATGCACACAGTGCGGGGGGGGAGTGATGGCAGCATGCATGCATGTATCACCTCTGGCCGTGCCTCTTGGCTTCACACCTAGCATTTAACAGGCAGCTTGAGGTCAAGGGAATGGTGAGTTGTTTTACCAGATGGTACAAAATCTGCATGGGCATAGTAGATCCTGGGCAGCTGAGAAGGGAGGGCTGATAGCACTGTGAGAGTTGCTTCTCAGGGCCTTGTTTCTCGGATAGTGGGGTGAATGGGTTCAGGAGCAAGAGGAGCTAAAGGAAGTGGTTCTTCTGTGTATGTGATCTGCTTGAGTCCAGGTGGAGGAAAAAGCTCTTTGAGGCCTCTGCTGCTTGCTCTGGCTTGGGACAAAGCCCTTAAGAAACACCATATTCCCCACAGGAACAGCTGCAATAGCTCCAAACATGTTGTTTCAGGACCTAGGAGCTGTGTAGCTCATGGTAGCATAAGTTGAACTTTTCTGATAGGAGAATGCTCCTGCTACTGGAGGCAACATGGGATTGTCTTCCAGGTGGTGATGATTTCCTTTCTGGTCCAGGAGAGCTGAGAATCACTGATCTTCTGCCAAGCATCACAATACCCGAGGGAGGGACTGCCCAACTTCATTGCACAGTGACCAGTAGCAACGTGAACATAAGGTGGTCAAGGTAAGCAAAAATGAGACAGAACTTCCCTTTCTTCCTCTTCTGAACCTCATCACTTATCCTCCAAATAGTAATGCAGATGCCTGCCAGACCAGGGAGGGATTCAGGGTTCTTCTCAGCCCCAGCCAGTGTTTTCCACTCTTTCTAATTGTCTTTGCTATTCCCTTAAAAGTCCTCGGCAAGATCCCTGTGGGGGATGGAGTTCACCAAGTCCATGTTCCAGCAAAACGAGGAGGAGAGTGGATTTTGAGCTAAGAATGCATGGAGCTCAGGAAGGCTCCATGCTGGAGAACTAGTGACGTTACAATAGCAAAAATTAAAGTGCATGAGCAGAGGAAGACCTTTAGTCAGTCTCTATAAAGTTCTCTCACTGGCTGAGCCTAGCAAACGTTTTAGCCTATACAATAACAGCTGCTCTTCCTCCAGCCTTCCTGCTGGGACAATTCTCTGCCTCTGCGGTCAAATGGGAGTAAGGGAGAACGTAAAGGGTCTCATTAAGTGTAAGAGAGAATCTGTGTCCTCTCTTCTTACAGAGAAACTCTGAATTTGTGTGAGAGTGGGGGAGGTGTTTGTTGTTTTTTTCCTACTTGAAAATAATCAGTTCTGTTTTGGAGCCTTCTTGCAAAGGATCCAGAGAGATGGATTGGTAGTTGTTCAAGTCCCTTGACTCCAAGGAGTAGGACTGAAGTGGGCCTTCTCACAAAGAGAGCTTTTCTTCCATAAATAAGTTTGATATTTGAGTTAACAGAGCAATGCAAGTTTTAGAGTCTTGAGGAAACCCTTTTCAGTGAATCAGATTTTATTTCCTTGGTAACTGGCAGTTCAGAGTGCAGGTGGTTTTCCTGCTGTGCACAGAGTGTTTCGGGAAGAACAGAGCAGACACAATCTTGCTGATTTCTCTAACACTTTTTAAAACAAACTTTTTGAGGAGGAGGAAAGAGGGCACACTACTTACTATCAATGCCAGCCAAACACTCATTGCCAGACCACAACCGAGAGAGAAGGAAAGGCACAATTCATCTTCTCTTAGTTCCCTTAAACCTCAAAAACGTGTAATAGAGGAAAAGGCTTTACAGAGCACACAGCTAGCTGCTCCCCACAGAGACAGTAGGCTGGTGCAGACTCACTCAGGCTTGCTTTACTATCCAATTGTAGAACTAGGTCATGGCAAAAGAAAACTTCCTCTTCCTTTGTGCTGAGTTTGTAGAAATTCACCCCCTTCACAAAGCCTAAGTTCCCACACAGCACAGAGCTCCTTAGCTCCCATGGTGGGAATAACAGTATGAAATGCTTTTCACTGCAGGAATGGCGTCCCAATGCGGGCAGATGGCCACCACATCCACCTGTCCCAGGATGGAAGCCTGATCATAAGCAATGTTCAAGAGGCTGACGAGGGATCCTACACATGCAGCGCCTACAGCAGCAGCAACTCTGTCAGTGCCAGCACAGAGGTGAAAGTGATGAGGAGCAGGCCTACAAGTGAGTACAGCTTGTCCTCCCTCCTGCCCCCAGTACAGTGCCAGCCTCTTGGCCGTTATTGTAAGTCTGCCCATTGAGTGTGCCCATCCACCACCTGCCTCTGGCTGAGGGAAGCAGATGCCAGCTTTCCCTGGCCATAAAAGCAGGATGGTGGAGACAACCCCCTTACCAGGGCACTGAGAACTTAATTAACTTCCTGAGGGCAAAACACCACGGTTGAATGGCAAAATGTTTGGCTGCAAGAATGATATCTGGCCTCTGGACACCATCCAGCCTGCTTTTCGTAGGGTGTGGAGAGGTCTCTCCTCAAGAGATGTTAAGGCCCAGAAACTCCATCCTCCTTTCGTATCTAAGAGGTGTCAACGCGTCCCTCTCATCCTTGATATTGGACCATGTTTAAAATAATCCCCTCAGAACCTGCAAGGTGGAGAAAGTAGGAACCTGCTGTGTTCTTCTGGGAGGGAAATGGAAACCTGAGGGTCAGGCCCTGGCAATGGATTTTCAGCTGGCTTCATGCAGACCTGTTTGTCCCTCTTCTCTTTTGCTTGGCTGCAGCAGCTGTGAATCATGTTGTGGACCTGAGTAGAGAGTGCGTGGACCAGCCACACCTCGCCAACTGTGATCTGATCCTGCAGGCCCAGCTCTGCAGTAACGAATACTACTCCAGCTTCTGCTGCGCCAGCTGTTCTCGCTACCAGTCACAGGCCAGCCCTCCTCATCACCACGGGTGACAGACACCTACCTCCAAGGCTACATGAAAGTATACAGGTGACTGATTGCAAGACAGAAGCTCTGTCCTTTTACTGCCTAAAGCTGTTTTGGGAGCTCTGTTCTGCTTGAAAGTTCAAGAGGGTGAATTTAACAGCACAGTGGGTGTAACTGTTCAAAGATGGGAGAACCACCACCCTCAAGCGTATTGCAAAATTCTTTTTTTTCCCCACCATGTGCCTTGCAATAGCTAATCAATCCATCTCTTCACTGAACGATAGCTGCTGTAACTCACAGAACAAGTTGACACTGGGAACATAAGGATTCTGGGACTTTACAGGAGGCACATAACCAACATGAAAGAGGGAGAGACCAGTTGTTCACATAAGCAAAAGAAAAATGCTCTTAAAATAAATACAATCTTTCAAGTGTTCAAAGATGGGCCTGAAGCGTCTTAACTAAAGCACAAATCAGTGAGGAGCATTTATAATTTTGGGGAGCAGTTTCCATCTAAATGCAAAAGACTGGACATGAACAGCATCATGCATGTAAGATTAGTGTTTGGGGGTCTATGAGGTTACCAGGAATGCATCCATAAAGTCACGTACTGTAGTTGTTTTACTCCAGTACCCCCTTAAGCAAATTTCTAGTTGGGTCAGCTTGGCTCTACTTGAACGTATTCGGCTTTGGAGTGAAATGCAGAAGCAATGCTTTACAAAAAAACACAAGACAAAAAAAAGAATACTTTAGCCCTACCTAAATGGTAGGGATAATTTAGATGAATATAACACTATTACCTGTTCTGCTGCAGTTTAGGTATCACTCATCAGATTTATTTTATTTTTTTAGAAACCAAAATTGTACTGTTGAATTTAATGCAAAGATGGGATCTGTGGTAGCCTTGTGTTGGGTTTGTGCTTGGAGAGGACAAGATGCAGGGGTGACTGACTTACTTGCCAGAAGAATAAACCTCCCCATGATCCACTCTAACTCCAGGAAAGCCTGGCTCTGCATGCGGCCTGGGCTAATTACTGCTGTTACGAGCTAACAAATGAGAACTTACAGACATAGTAGAGCAGCTATAGCTGAAAAGCATCCAGAATGTCAAGACCGACACTGGGTGACAGCTAGCATGTATAAGAGGCTCTGAAAGAGAAATTCTTAGGAGTGATAGAATCTGTTGAGCCAGGGAAGGCCCATGATGTCTTCAGTATCTGGAAATGGAACTGTAACTTAGGAGCATTTGGTTTTTTTTTTTTTTTTTTTTTTTTTTTAAAACAGCCTTAACAGCACTGTTTTACCCTCACATTATTCCTAGCGTTTCCTCCTTCCGCACTCCAAACTCCTTTACTAAGACTTGGATGGGTTAATCATATTAATCAATCAGCAACATCACCTATTTACTCTATGTATAGGTGTAGCTATAAACTAGTACACTGATGCATGATGCTAGGGGTTTGGGGGACTTGGGGAGGGTGGGCTTCTTTTTTTTTGTTTTTTCTTTTCTTTTTCCCCCTGACTTGTTACTTTAATTTAAGGCTTTTAAGGAAGTAATTCTGGACTGTGATCACACCACGCTCCTCTCCTTCAGTCCAGAATTAACACTCAGGGCAGCAGTGATACACAGGTGTAAATCCCCAAGCTTGACAGCCTAAAGCTGGTCTGGAATCTAAATCCAGTAAATCAGTTCAGCTGTATCTAAAAATAAGAATTACTAACCTAAGCATTGCACTCTTTTCAGCACAGGTATGCCTTCAGGATTGGACACCATACTTTAAGATGTGAACGCACTGAAAAGTCTAGAAGGAAACCAGTAAAGGAGTGAGACGTGACAGATTTTTTTTTTCAAAAAGAGATTTTTTTTTTTTTTGAGAGGTCAGTGAAGAATTGTGCTTGCTAGAAGGCAGAAAGTCATACTTTGCAGTGAAGATCCATTAGTTTGGCTATTGGGAAAAAAAAAAAGCCTCTGCTGTAATCACAGGATGGGTTACACTGTAAGTTTGTGAAGTTGCCATCACTGGTTATTTAAAAACAATGAGCTAGTCCAGAGATCAATTCTACTTGTATATGTCCATAAATTTGCATTTAACATTTCAAAACAGCACTTCTTTTTTTTTTTTCCTGTATAGCATATTTGACACAATAGTATGAATCTACCTTCTGAGACAATAATCACATCCTGTGTAAATGCTAGTCTTAGTGAAACAGAGATGAGACCACCAAGCGCATGTGAACTTTTTCAGGAGTGTGATTAAAGGTAGACTACAGCTGTATTTCATCCTCCCCCTCCCTTTTACTTTCGCCAAACATAAGCAATAATTTCTGTAACATCCCTTTCTACTTTGTCAGAGGCTTTTTTTTTTAAATAAGATTTAAATAGTATACATGTTCAGCTTTCATTTAAGCTGCATAGTTATAAAATATACATGCAAGGAGCTCTTTCTCAAGACTTCTGAGAGTTGCCACCTGTAGTCTGTTGGACGGGACTCTAATTTCATGCTGGGGATGCTTTGGTTAAGTGAGCGTTTATTCTCTGACTTTCTTTCTGCTGAGTATCCATGGTAATAAGGATTGTATTTGAAGGCATGCAGCTCTCCGTACATACCATCACTGTAATAGTTAAATAAAAGGTCTTTTCCATTTTTTTTTTTTCTTCCTTCTATTTGGCAAGCTGAGATTTTTGTCTCTGTGTAACGTCTCTAACTGGCTGTTTACCTTTTGATTTGTGTGCCAAGATGTTACTTTTCTTCCCTAAAGAATGGTTTGTAGGAAGCTCATATTTTCCTTGCTATTATCTTCAGGGCAGGAGAAGGGTATAGATATACTGGACTATTTTTGGATGGTCTTTGGGCACTGCTGTGAAAGACTTACTTAAGGGCTAATAGGGGAGGGGAGGAAAAAAGCATGTATAGCTTTTTCTAGTCTTATATAAATCAGATCTCTACACACATGACTACAAATATTTGTTTGCTTTTTGAAAGCTGAAAAAGCATCAGTACTACCTCAAATACCATAGGGAGTATTGGTCATTACTAGTCATGCCATACTGAAGCCAGGTATGCATGAACTGATACAGGAAAAAAAAGCCCCAGCTTTCTAGACCACATCACTGAGTATCACGGTACTTGCCTGGAAACAGAAACTGCTGGCAAGCGCAAAAGGAAGGAAGCATTGCTAAAGGAAAGGCTCAGAAACAGTCCCCTCTGCTTCCTTTATCCCTCTATAATAATACACTCCCCTTTCAGGTACAAGGTCTGACATTTCTCTATACCTAACCTGTTTGGTGCACATAGGAATGCAGTGTGAAGCAGTCACATGCGTAGGGTAGGTCTATAGCAACTTACTGGGAGAACAGAAAGGAGTGAAAATACACTGTCTGCTCACACAGCTATTGGGATCTTCACTTCTTTTAATACTAGGGGAAAGAAAAGCAACATGAGTTTTCTTTTTTCCCTGTTTGAATGTTAGTGGCTTCATGTTTGTCTCTAAGTAAATAGTCAGCATTAGAAAAATTCAGCGAGGCAAACTAGAATCTAATGGTTTCAGTAAACCCCACCTTTTTAGAGGTTTAAATAGCAAGGACATTTGCAAGTTAGGTCTTAAAGTTCAAGGTAACGTAATATGGCGTACAAAAAGAGAGCCACTAAAATACCATTGTCAAGCTTCAAGGCTAGCAAGCAGTGTTTGTCTGTGTTCACCTAATAACAAAAAAGGACAAATCCTGAAAACCAAATGGAGAACAATAAAGCTTTCACAGACAGCACTTCTACCACCAACATTTATTTCTGTTAAAGCAGATTATAAATCAGTACAAATATATATAACTTACATTTGCTTGTAAGGCCAAAGTTTAAAAGTAAAGTTAAAATGAGATGGATTTCACAAGTCACCAGAGGCAGAACCTGGACCAGCTGCAGCCTTAACCACAAGGTTTCACAAATCAGTGGAAAAAAATAAAAACAAAGTTAAAAACCTCTAAGATCTATTGACAGACGAACATAAAATGGGTTCCTAGGCAGCCCCAGGTTGTAGATATGATTACAGTAAGTTGTCACAGTAGTGTTAGAACCAATAGATTAAGACAAGGAAACCGCAGTGATACATGAAAGAAAATAAACATACCATATATAATATGTAGCTTGATTCCAATAAAAAAACACAGTAGATTTTCCCCATGGTTTTCAAACCATGACAATACTGTTCTTTAATTTTCTTTATTTAAAACTATGATTAAAATGACTTACTGGTTGTGATTGTTGTTGCAATATGCTACTTACAATGAACAGATACAAGAACAAGCTGGGCCCCTCTCTCCCCTCCCCATCCCCCCCAAAATATTATTTAAAATAAGAATCAGTGATAAATCAATCTTATGTACAATTTCTTACATCCAGCCCTCCCCCCCCCTACAACTCATACAGCTTTTAATATCCAACTATTTAAAATATTCTAAATGCATAAAAATAAAGATTTTGGCTTTACTTTATTCTTTATATATAATATTCACTTTGTTACTCAAAAATGGAAGCTCAACTTTTTCCACAAACCTAGCTTTTGCTAAGCAGGTGACAACCTCCCTCCCATACTCCACCCCCCCGCCCCCCGGCCAACACCTCTCTCTTTCCCATGGGGGAGTGGAGGTGGGGCAAAGTCCAGGACTCACAGGGCATGTGAAGGACACAGGTACAATATTTGTCTTCCTTTCTGTGAGATCATTGATGTCTCTGCAGAACAGGCTTCGAGACTGATGCCCTTCTTTGCTCTGTTTGACTTCCAGCTTTCCAAGTGAGGAGGGACTGCAGACTGGGCTGGTTTCAGGACTCCTCTTAAGAATAGCACATTCAATTCTTTGTATGTTTATACCCTCCCCATGATTGTTCCTTTTTCCTAACCCATTTTTCATTTGAAGGGACTTTTTTTTGGGATTATCAAAGCAAACTGATCAGAAACAAGGCCCCTCCCCCCCCTTCCCCAGCTCCCTTTATCCCTCTCTACTAATATACAACTTACCCTTGCAGGACTGTTTAAAGTTCAATCTCAAATGTTTTCTGTAAATCACTTGAGAAGGGGTTAGTTGGCGAGGGATTAGTGCGTTGCTTTGCCTTGCTCTCTAGTGCTGCCCACTGTGCTTCAAACGGGTCTACCTGTGGAGCGGCTGCGGGAGGCTGTGAATGCTTGTCCTCTGCAGCCCATTTGCCACCATCAACTCCATTGAAAGCTGCAGAGCCGTTATGCTGTGCAGGTGGCTTGAAGAAAGGGCTGGTCGTAGCACTGTTGGTTTCATACTGCGGGAACGTCTGCTGTTTAACAAGACTGGGTGACTGATGAGGATGGGCTGCTGGAGTGTGACTTGCAGTACCAAAGACATTGGCTACCATCTGGGAAGGCGTGATTCCAACCACAGGTACGCTCGGAGCGGCATAGGTCATTCCATTCGCTACAGCATAGGGCTGAGCTGGAATAAATGCCGGCTGCATGGGCGGCACCACACCAACCGGCACAGGCTGAGGTGCAATGAAGGTGTTCACTGGGAAAGCTGGTGCTGACTGGGAAGTTGCTGGAGGAGGTTGGAGTAGTGGCTGCGGGGCTGGGGCTGGCTGCTGTTGGGCTCTGACAGTCTTTGAGACCTCTTCCAACCAGCGGTCTGCCTCTGAAGGAGTACGTCTGTGATTTCCTTGGAAGAGACTTGGTGAGGCTGCACCTGAGGAGGTGCTCCACTCAGCTCCTGGGAAGGAAAGCATGGGGAGGCCATTAATGCTTCTGTTCCTCACCCTTTTATCAGTGCTAGCTAGAAAGACTGCAGGATGTATGCAAGAACAGTCAGGCCTCCCTCCCTCCACAGTTGAGCAGATGCAACCAATGGTGGAAGCATATTTTTGTATCCTAGTATACTGTTTTGTTATAGAAGGACACTGGTCAAGAAGGGATGGAGAAGAGCTTCTTCACTACAATGCAGGTTTTTTTTTTTTTTTCATAGCAGACTTCTGAGACTTTAGGGCACACAGAAGTGCCACATACTACATAGCAGCAATGACCTAGTCCATAACCACTAATTCCTGCAACAGAGAAGTATCAATTTCTGAATAAACAGCTCAGGTGGATTGTTAGAATACAAAACCATACAGTACTGTTTTTAAGGGTCACTTGCCGTGTGTCCTAAATTAAGGTTTTCTCTATAGGACAGTAATGTAATTGTATTAAGCGTTAAGGTAGTAGTCATTTTTCCATCACATATCTGTCAAAGTGAAGTGTGACCACTTCCTAGTACATACGTGAACATTTAAGGAAGTACATCTGTCCAATTACAATATATGTACACTGTACTTACTGTGCCTCCCTTTTCTTATATTTGTCCAAATCTCCACCCTTTCCTACTCTCTCCACATGTAACTCGGGCTGTTAACCTCTCTAATTCTTTTGCAATATTCAACACTTAATATTTCAGATTTTTTTCCTATAAAAACAGCTCTGCTTTTAACTCATTTATCTTCAACAATTAAAAAATAATCACTCACCATCATTTCCATTCTTCCCACAGTTCACAGCCATCTCCCATCAGCTGAATTCTATTGGTGTCCTTCTCCCTACTGTTTTACATACTCTTTTCCCTTCAGTAGGACCTCACCGCTTTTCCAATGTGATGAGAAAAGCAACCAGGAATGCTAGAGCGCAGCTCTGCAGTTCATACGTTGTTAGGTGTTTTGCAGAAGTAGAATATCATTACTGCTCAGTACTCTTAATTTAAGCTGATTGTAGAGACTGGATAACCTGCACCTAAAGATTAGTTTACTGTTGTTTTTCTACAGTGGGAACTCTTCGAGGAAGAGCTTAGGGTCTTGCTGTTATGGGGAAAGACCTACTGATAATGGGCCTGGTACTCTCACAAGGCCAAAGAGAACCTATTTCACTAGCAAGGTTGCTTTTTTCTAGTTGAGCTTACCCCAGGAAATGGTGTACTCTCTCTTACTTAGGTTGGTGGAAAGAACACACAAAAATTTGGGGTACACAGAGAGATTCTTTCCTCTTCATTCCCAAACACATACTGTTTCATTACTTCCCTTTTAAGCATCAGATTTTCTAAAAAGCTGTCAAGATTTAGATTTAAAAAAAAAAAAAAAAAGCTAGCTTATAGACTCGGAACCAACGAGTTCATAGCTTCCCGCCATCCACTTGCGCAAAAGGCTACTACTTCCGCCTTTTGTCACTGTTCCCTCCAGGTTTCATTAAGTGGCATTGACAGTTGTCTTAAGGGCTCACTTATGCTTCTGATCCAAGTTCTCAGAGAAATGCACAGGATCTACTTCCAGTCTTACCAGAGACCATGGCTGCAGCTCCAGTACTAGCAGCAGGAGCATGAGCCCAGGGATTGGTTTCACGAACTGGCATAGCTGTGGACACTACAGCGGCTTGGGATGGTTTAGCAGCAAGCACACAGAAGGCAGAGGCAGTGCCATTAACTAAAATGGGAGCAGACAACATCAGTGCAATTAATTCATGCAAGGCATGCACATGACAAGAATATTAGTGGGCCAGTTGCATGCCTAGCAACACACAACAATTTTAGACATGACAGTGGTTTGTGTAAATTCGCCAAACAAAGCTGAGAGGTGATAAAGCTAGTAAATTCCATTTCATGACGCCAACTCTTAACTGAACTGTAGGAAGGTGGGTTGTTTTGTTTTTTTTTTTTAAATGTACTTGATGAGATCTTGCATTCTGATAATACCTGCTTCAGCTTGAAGTTAAATTTGCTGGTTTTATAGGGATATGGCTCACCAGAAGTTAGAATAACATGATTAATTTTACATTCAAAGGAAGAGCACATTTTAGATGCTAAGTAACAGTAACTACATTTAACAAGAAGAGCTTTTTCTCAAGCTACTTGTATAAAAAAAAAAAAACAGTGAACCACAGTCACTGCTTAATAGTCAGAGACTATTAAGCATTCTGTAGTCAGCATCTCTCCACAACTTATCAAAGTGTTTCCACTGTGCAATGATACGGTAGTACACAATCCTCTTCCCTTGTGGTTCTTGTGACACAGTTCTTAAGGTTATTACACTTCAGTAGGCAGAATGTGAAATTGCCGTTATCTCAAAGCCAGGCCCTTTTACAGGTAACTGTCGTGTGGTAGGTGCATGACCTTTTAGTGAAAGATTACAAACAAAAACACATAAAAACTCAGCAGACAAGATAGATAGATGAATAAAGCAGGATGCATTCCCTCAAAATATAGATACAGGACTACACAAGACATTAAGACAACGTGCTACTGGAAAGCAGCATTATGTGCATTCAAGCCTCATTCAGCACGACCATCATGCAAGCAAAGAAACCACAAACCTTGAAAGGCAGGGGACTGTGGTGCAACTACTGTGACTGGTTTTGTCATGGGGGCTGAAGAGAAAGGATCTTCCGATGGTGTGCTGAAAGCATTGGTGATTTGAGAGCAGAGGGCACTAATGCTGTCGACTTCCCCTTCTACCTCAGGGACTGAAAAAACAAACAAATCATTAAATTGGAAGTTTAAGGGAAAAAGAAATAAGTTACGAATACTGATGTTAAATTGAAATATAATTAGTTCCTTTATCTCCTAGATGTTCTTACTGTTGAGTTGAATGACAGCTTTTTCTGAATTCTGTGTTGAAGATCTGATAGTAGAAATAGCCATATTAGTGTATTTTTTAAATCAAGAGGGTAAGGAGATCAGATTTGCAGTCAGTTTTTACTGCTTCTCTCTGTTAATGGAAGAGGATGTTCATTACGGAAAACGAAAGGTTTTTTTTTCCCCTATAGCTTTAATAGAGACCTAAATCTTTTGGTATTGAAGACTGCTAAATATACCAAGGATTTGGCACTAAGATTTGATGTTCTGTGAAATGAAAATGCTTATGATAGATTTAACTGTTCCAACAACATACTCCTACAGTAACTAGATGAAGTTTAAACATGTTGACAGCAACACACAGGGGCCAGTTAAGTAAGTCCACGGTTAGAATGCCGATTGCCCCAGTACAGCAGCAGCTGAAATCCCTAGGACCTATATTAAAATTACAGAAAAAAAGCTTAATGTTCAAATAAATGGACACTCTCAGTTTTAAACTAAATATATCAGCATAGTGTGGATACAGTAACATTTGGAGTAAACTGCTGACTTACCAGATGTTCTCGTTATTTCTAATTGCACTGCTTTTGAAAAGTGCTGATTATCAGTCCTTCATTACACAGAAGTGACATGAGCAGGCACAACAAGCACAAATAGTACAAAACACATAGGATGGGTGGTATGACGTGCACTGTACCTAAAATTTAGGGGGAGGCATGCCCCAAAATTGATTCTTTGAGGGATATTCCAATAAAAATGCATGTAGTGTGACAGAAAGCAGCATTGGTAGCTGCATACATGGGAACATCCTCAGAATAAATTCAGATCATGGTAGGCTCAATCAGCATTACTTTTGTAAGCAATGCAGCACTAGTGTTAAATTGATTAACTCAGTGCTGGTCTTAGTTGGTGGCCTGTGCATTAAGAATCGTAAGAGAAGTCAGACTAGATATCGATGGCGTTTTCACCTTTGCCGCCGTAATTTTTATTTTAAACCTTGGAACCCTAGAACTATCTCTGTTGCCAAATGAGAGCACAGCTGTCCTACAGGCTAACCTAGCTGAAGGGATTTTAGGCTATTATGCAAGGTACTAATCACCCCAGATGTCTATGTTAGGATGGTTCTGTAAAATCCCACAGCTATCATTTGAAAACGGCACCACACATTACTGATACTGCTGGTTATGCCATCTAAACAGTAAAGTTACTATAAGTAATGAGGTGAAAAGAGGTTTCATTGCTCTCAAAAGGAGGATTTCAGAAAGATGGAAAGACAGACATGAGGAAAAATGCCACGAGATCCCATGACAAGTGGTTAAAGCCTTGGACGGGTTTGTCTGTCAAGATGCTCTGGCGTTATGCTGAGGAACAGGTTCAGTGACTCAGAGGAAAGAACAGCACCTACTATATCACCACATCTATTCCTGGAGCTCTTCAAGCTTCGCTCCAGTGTTTCAGATACAGATTACAGCTGCTTGTCTTCTGCATGTGAATATTTTATTTGAAATTCTTGCATGTTCCCAAACTACATTTTTTCTGACTGGGTGATAACGTCTGTTGGTGATAAATGATCCACACTAGGGCAGGAAGGAGGATTTACTACAGCCAAATAGTTATTTAAAGCCACAGAGGAGGAAGGGAGGAAGAGACAACGTAAGGTAATGTTTCACTCGAATCATTTGGTTTTACCTGAGTTTTTCATAGGGAAGTCAGTCTTCCTTTGCACTGTTGAAGGCAGCTCGTTTATTCGCAAAGACAATTGGCGCTTAAAAGGAGACATCTTTTGGCTAAGGGCAGGGAAACCCCTGAAGGAACCCTGCCTGGCAAGCTGTTCTATAGGGGCATGCCTTCGAGGAATAGCGTGGGGATTGTTCATTTCTTTATCCAGAGAGGCAGCAACATCAGCCGTAGGAGAGGTTGGCGAGCCAGGAGAGGGAGCAGTATTGTTTGGTGCAGCACTTGGCGCTACTGTTTTCACTTCTGGTTCAGCTGATGGGGGAAACAGAGTGAGGTTAGAAGAGTAAAGCCAAGTATTGTTCGACTGCATCTCCCTGCACTTTTTGTTCTGGAAAGAGAAATCGCAAGAATTTGTATCACTGGTACTTTTCCACAAAGGAGTTTCTAATACCACAGCAGAAAAGTAATCTCATTATCTTCATCTTGCCACTTTACCAATACATCCAGTCTCCAAAGCAAAGCTTACCGAGGCTACCCAGTCCATAGAAATGATCGCCTCCTATGTATTCCTTCTAGCTACTGCTGAGGCCACTGCTCTAGAAATACCTGTAATTTATTTATGATTCAACCTGAGAAGTGTATTCGGAGACTCCTTTAAAGATTTTGCCTCTTGGAGAGCTGAAAGAAGAACAGATTATGGCCAAAATCTTACCATTAACTGTATTCAGTTAATGAGGGTGGTATTGCTCAGCAGCTGCAGGGAACAGAATCCAGCTTTAGGACCTTCTTTTAAAAGCTGCCCTCCTACCCTTGCAAAATCAGCAGCAGTAGCCAAACATCCTGCACAAGCTTCAGCAGGTCAAAGACAGCACTTAACAGGTTGGGCTGCATTCAGTGCTCAAACAGCAGCTCCCCATCTCCTCAAACAGCAGCTCCCCAACTCCTCCAGGGAATAGATTACAGATCACATGGAAGTATGCTGCAGGATAGATCCAGCCTGCGAGATGGCAGGCCATGCTAACACCCGTCACGTTTACATGAAGCAAAGATACTGAGATCCGGTGGCATCTCTTCAACTGTATTTAGCTGTGATGTTATTACCCAGTCACTAGCTATACTGGAAACTGCAGTTTCAAGTCAGCTGCTTCATTTTGCGGAGTTCTGCGTAGTACCACAATGCTTTGCTCAAACAGATCTGATTGTGGAAATGTACGCTTAAGCCTAGTTTAGGTCATGACACCTGTGATTAAACAGCAATGGGGATTTTTCCGTCTCTAGGAACAGTGTCTAACTCATGGCATAGGTGAATGAGCTTTAATAAACACAGCTTTTAATATTAAAATAGGTCAACAGAGAGAGGGGGAGAAGGGGAAATTTGCTGTCCTCGGGTGAACTTATTTTAATATACAACTTTTCAAACTTCTTAGGAAAAACAAGGAGGGTTCTTTTCTTTTGTGGTTGACACATCAATGGAATAACTAGAAATCTGGTAAAGAGAAGAGTCAGTCTGGAGATTTCTGAGGAGTTGGAATGGTAGGAGGAACGAATTACGTTGTCTTGCAAGCTTCAGTACCCATGAGTTGCAGCTGCTCGTTCAAGTGAAACTTTTCTAATCAGTCTTTCTTGGAAAGGATTTCACACACCTTCATTGAGTCAAGACTTTGACTCACGCCCTCAAGCAACAAAGGCCTTGCGTTTAAGCTTCATTTAGCACATTCTAAAACTAACATACGCGAACAAGCAGATGGATGATGAAAACGAAGATTAAAGTTCTGCAATAGAGTGGCAGTATAAAACTTGCTGTGGAACCCTCTGAAACCAAAGCTCACCGCTACTGTAAGATGAGCTACAGACAGTATTTATTATAAGTATTTTTTAGTAGTTGTAAAACTCTACTATCCGTAGTAACACTTGGATAAGAAGTCCTTCTACCGCCCCATGAATGTGAGAAAACTTCCGCATTTTAAATGGTTATGAAGTAGAATTAACTCCTCTCAAATCAGCCAGTAATTATTTTTGAATGTAACTCACAGTGCACCACTTGAGCTACTTACTGTTTTTTATGGAAAGCACACTGATTGACCTGTTCTTCCTTCTTGCAATATAATACTAAAAATAAACTTGGTAACGCGCCTTACAATCAAAATAAAAATACATTGTTTTCCCAGTAAGAAAAAAGCATACCACTTTCTGTTCATTTACCATAAGCTTTAGACTACAAAAAAGGATCACTTAAAGTCTGGTAAACTCACGTTGTCATATTTTTATATCATTTTCCTAATAAGGTCTTTTAGTATGGCACTTACGATGTTCTCTGCCAAAAAGCAGGCTGGTAAAACAAAGCAGGAGCAGGAGCAGCTTTGTCCAGTTGCTTTCGCACGTGAAGCCACTCGTACTTTTTCTAGAGGAGATGTGGGAGAATGCCCTAGGAGGGAATCTGGAAGCATTTTTCATCTTGTGAAATGACAAGAGTGTCTGAGAATATGATTTGTATGTATTGAGGTTAAAGAGAGGGAATTTTGCAAGGAAGTTAACCATCAGTTCTTGTGTAGGCCCCAGTTCGCCTCTGTACTGGTTTTGCTTGCTTAACGATTGTGCAAGTTGCGCCCCGTACCTTTAGCATCCGGCATCTGTCTCAGAATTTCCTCTCTTTCTGCTTGTTCAGTAGCTGTAGTGACCCTGAATGACCCCTCTCTAGTGAATGTGGTTCTGCTGGCATCAAAGGTGGCAGTCACTCCACACTCCTTCTCTCGCTTCTGCTTTCGCTCCAGGCATGCTGCAAATGCACAGCCCACGGCATGACTCAACCTTTCCCCCTGTGCAAGACAACATTGCATCATACAGTAACTGGAACAGAAACATATGTGTGTTACGAGGTGATAACTTGCCTTTACAAGAGGCATCTAACTAACGCATTAAAGAGAACTACCGTAATTGGCCATATTGCATGGGTCTACAATTAAAGCTGGTGTATAAAGACTCACAGCTACTACTGCGCGCACAGTGTTCAAGAAGGCCACCCAGAAATGAAAGAGATTGTCAGATAATCTGTTTAGTTCAACTGCTACAAAGATACTAGTGTGATAACATGTCTGCACTGGTCTCTCGCCTCTGGATATATTTGCACACAAAGAAACTCTTGTGAAGCCATTTTATGCAGGTGTAAGTCCTGAAGGATAAATGAAAGCTATTCTCATACATGAGGGGAAAGTTTACAGAGGGCTCGGGAGACACTACCGTTGCGTGCAAACGTGAGAAAATTAAGAGCACAGCTATGATGGCTTATACCTCTAATGGCCCTGACTAAACACACAAACAAGTACTAAGAGTGCCTTTTTGAGAAACATATGCTCACTATGTTCTTAAATTAGGCTTTATAATGAGTCCCAGAACAACCCTGATTTACTTAGCAACAAAAATCCCTGAGTGCAACAGAGTCTTCTCACATATAAAAATAAATATGTGTTATATTAAATAAATACAATAATAGAATATATATCACGTGCAATAAAGCCCCCGTCAAGCTGCTTCTGCACACTTTTCTCCTGTCCATTGTCTGCGCCCTCCTGCCCCCAACTTCCCATTTAGAAGACAGAAGACCCAGTAGTCCGCAAAAGTGACATAAAGGATCCCCGTGACTCAGGCTTAAATTCAGCTGGGTTCGTCGTAAGAACAGAACTGATTTCACCGAGTAACCAATCACTGTTGCATACAAAATACTTCTAAGCCTTGCAAAAGGCACGTCTATTATTAATCAGTGAGGTCAAAAGGATCCACTGTCCTATAACTGCAATAAGGAAATGAAATTCAAGTCAGAGGAAGTCTGGCAACGCAGCTGATACGGAGGCTATAGTTGAGTCAGGAGTGCTATTAGTACCAGTGGCTTAACTCATCTGCTATAGCCAGTAGCTGACTGGGAAGTTCTAATTTATTTTTGAAGAGAAAAAAATGAATTGTTAAATATAATTGCTCTGAACGTGCTGCTATGCAGAGTTTCCTCTAGCAATTTGCATATTCAGAATACTTTTCTATACTACTTACTACTAGGTTTCAAGCACTTTGTATAATATAGGTGAGATTCAACAGAAGAGTAGATTGGGAAGGTGAATGAGTTACCTAAGGCTACACAGCAAACGAGGGATGGAAGTAACCTACTTTCAAACCTCCTACTGGAAAAAACTCTCTTTATCACGTCGAAGCGAATAGGATCTCAATTTAATTCATTTTAGCTCCATCCCTTAGTATTCAAATAACTTTCCCTTCAACATAACATTTGCATACAAGAGGCTGCGTTTACAACCAAGTCTATTTTACTCACTATGACTTTAATCCTGGAAAAACTGTCACTGCTGTTTCAGTTTTTGGCTGTATACATTTTCAGATGAGAATATCTTCTGTCTATTTTTAGAAGAGTAGTTCCCTTCTGCTAGAGATATCTGAGGCTGACTGCATTCCATCTACACACCATGCTGCGCACCGTTTCTCTCCACAAGAGGACATCACAAGATGGCAAGAGGGATGGCAAATAATTCAGACACAGAGAATTAGAAGTAAAATATTTTTCAAGGACTAAGTAATATTTTAGCTGAAGTCAAAACTTATTGCAGTATTCTGCATAGTTAAGTTTTCTGAGTGGAACTTCCAGCTAGAAGCAGGAAGAGTTGGACACATACTATATTATACTTACCGTGTCCTTTACGGCCATAAAGCAGTGGCACATCCAGCGTCTCGTAGTGCCATCTCGACAGATATATGAGAACGCCCTGTCAAAGTTTCTGTCTGGTGCGCAGAAAGAAACCTTCTCTATTGTCTGATCAACTATAAGATCCTAGAGGGAAAAAAAATCCCCCCCCACAATAAAAGAAACGTGAAGAAGCGTAGAGAAACACCTGAAGACGTCATTTTCAGCAATAATTGCAAGAAGAGTTTTACTACAGAGAAGAAAACCTGGTTTGACTACAATTATCTGTCAAATGAGTTCACAACAGAAACTACTCCCAGTACGAAACAAAAAGGGACAGGTGACATCTTCTGCCTGCCTGCTTTGGTAGAAGGCTGACACGGCAACCGCTGCACAATTTAGGGATGTGAACAACTATTAGGGTCTCTCCGCTAGACTACGGAGCTAGCACAGGGGAAAGGGGAATTTTTCTTTCCTTTTCATAACAGCTCTGGTGATCCTAGCCATCAAAAAGTCTTTACCATGCTTAAAGTGCAATGCTCAAACTAACGGGAGAAGCCAGCAAGTGTGAGAAGATCTAGAAGCTACTACACAGAAAGCAACAACTGATAACGCCAATTAGCTAAAGCAGGGACTGAATGCAAAAGCACCAGCCATACCGGTAGTATCAAACACCCCTGGTTTGCTCCTACAGACTGATGGGAGAAGTAGTTCTAAAAAGGCGACAGTCTAGTTTGAGAACTATGCTGTCTACATTAAAAAACTATCCAATATTTTTTCAGAATTGTTTCTATTGCTTGGTGGTTAGGACTTGGTATTTGTGCTAATGTATTCAACCACCAGGAGGCAATGCTATATACTCTTTTTAACCCTGTTCTTTTAATTACCTCCAGGGACTGCACAGTTTTATAAAAATTCATTTTTGAGTTTACCTATCTGCAGTCATATTTCTAAAGATACATGCATTTAACAAAAATTGAGGAAAAAACACTAGACTGAATTCACCTACATTAATGTATTTGTATTAGAGACTGAATTCTTAAAAGACAGTAATTTTAGTGCTGGAAAACATACCATAAAAACAGCCCTGGAAATCTCTATCCACCGAGCAGGTCTTTGACCAGCAATTGTACTGCAGAGGGATATGAATTACCTCTACCTGCTCATCAGCTTTGGCTTGCGAAAATCATCTTTTAGGTTGACAAAGTAAGGGTTAAATGGCATGAATATAAAATGAATTCATTTCAGACTAGCAAGGGAAAAAATTGCTCTGATAGCCATGTCACCGTTTGAAATACTAGTGAGCTTATAGAGGCAAGCCTAAAGCTATTATGTCTAATTGCCTACATCTAGTTAAAACTAAGAATGATTTGCTATTACTCATAAGCAGGGGTCCTTTGTGCTACATATTGGGTTATTTCGTAATAAACATTGTTAAGCACAGTCTAGACAGATGCAAAGAATACATTAGTTTTCTACTTCATACCAACAGTTCAGGTATCACTATTAGAAATTATAGAATTCGATACCCAGTTACTACTTATCTCCAGACTGAAGGGAGTTTAAGATGTTTAGGGAAGGCACAATCCTATTTCATTTATTCTCTTCATTGCATTTTTGGAAGCCAGTTTTTGCTCATTCAAACCCATTCTTCTAGAACTTAGATGCAACGAAAATTATACTGTGTAACACACATTTTCTCAGGTACTACTTCTGCAGCCTTCTACAGCGGTACGGAACAAAATCAAGGGACTCTGCAAGTTCAGTGTCAGCAGAACTCATCAGGAAAAGATAGTTCTTTTGGCAGATACAACAAAAACATGATTCCAAGCTTGAACTCCCTGCCACACCTTTATCAAATGTGGCTTGACAGTACTGTGGAATTAACTGTGAAAAAATTAACAGGCATACATATCTTTACTGAGCAAGAAAGGATAAAATTGTTTATATACTTATATCTTCCTTTCAAATACCAGCATTTGCATTACGATGAAGATTGTTGTCCATTTAAAATTAGAGCACGTATGTTATTATATAGAGATTTAGAACTGTTGTCCAGGGAAATCTAACCTTTGTTTTCTCATCTACAACTCTGAGTCCATCCGCTGAAACCCACAGGACTGCTTTAACCGCCTTCTTTCCAGTCTTTCAAAAAAGAAAAAAAGAAAGAAAAAACAGCTTTACGGCAATGGTGTCAGCTTGCCACCCGTTTCCCCTTTCCAAGAACCATAACATTAAGCACAGATGAAGTCCACGTTCAGTAGGGTGCCCAAAGCCAGTTACTCAATCCAAGTTGCAAAACATTCAGAGAACTAAGCCAAAGCCAAGATTTCAGAAACAGCACAAAATGGGGATGGGGAGAGGGCACAGAACAAGTGGAGTCAAAAAATAGGGCATACATTCATTTAAAGTAAAGAATTCAAGACCGATCAAGTGGGTGAAGAATTCCACTAAATAGTCAGATAACACTAATTCATAAGGAGTTACACCACAGGTAGCTTCTTTAGCACAGGTTTAAACATGGACAATTCTTACCTGGTATTTCCACCAGCCCTACCCTCCCCCCAATAGTCGCATGGCAGAACCATGGCATCACCTTGAACCAGTGTAAAAAACACCCCAAAATCACCAGCGATTGTCTTATGATTGTAATGCTAAGACCAATCATCCAAACATGGTTCTCAAATTTACTGAGAGCTGAACGTGACACTTTCAAGAGAGATGGAAAATTATGGTTTATTAACCATTTGATGTGTGACTTTAAAAAACAGTTGTGTGCAGCAGGCTGAAGAAACAGGCAAACCTTCTGGCTATTTTCCAAGATCTGACTGTGGGAACTTTCAGCTGCCACAAGCTGAGGCTAAAAGTGGGAAACAGTGAAAGGCTTCAAGAGCCATTTAAACTGTAGATTCTTTTCTAGACTATTTGCTGTTTAAGGGAAAGTTGCAAAACACAGTGTAAACATGAGACAAGGTTCTTTTGAAACAAATTCATTGAGTAGAAAATAGCTGCGACGTCAACACAATTTTGTTGGTTGTCACAGAGAACTACTACTAGGAAAAAACCCCACTATTTTCTAATGCATTGCTGTAATTAATAACTCCCATGCTCTATATTTCACCTCTGAGTCAGATGATAAACTATTCTCCCCCAAATATTTTTGAGGCACTAGGTCAACGTAGTCTGTGGCTGCTAATGGCACCTGCCACAAACCACTGCAGGGAGGCAACAGAGCAGCAAATAAAAAGGGGGCAAAACAGTTAGTGGCTTTGTGCAAGAATTGCAATTTTTTAATCGCTCTTTGCAGATGACTGTAATTTATATTCATATGGCAAGTAACAGAGCAAGGACACATTCTGACATAAGCTACTGCGTGTTCCAAGTTCACAGCACCAATTTTAACATTGAAAGGATGAAATATTTTTTCCATCTTAGAGTGATAAGTCTCCTGTTACATCACATTGGTTTCATTATCAGAGTAAGCAGAAAGTGTGAAGAAAACCAGCCTGGCAGGACTTTTGTTTGATTTGGGGAAGGAAAAGAGGGTGGAAAACTATCTGTCCCAATTTCTGAGGCAGCAGTGACAACCAGAGCATTTACAGAAAGGTTGGTGAGAATGGAGAGTGGCACTGAGTTGGAGAGAAGAGTGATTAAAAGAGAGAAAATAAGCACAGCATGAAAGCAAGCTACAGAGAAGTGCTTGCAGGAGCAAGTTTTCAAATGTCCAACCTGCTGAATATCCCAGAGAAGGTTTAAAGTAAAACTGACAGATTTTGGAAGGCTTCATGAAATGAGTATTATTCACAAAGGAAGATAGATGTGTTTAAAGTTGCCATTATACATACTAAAAAATACTGCATCAATTTAAAGTCACTTCTAATTTTTGGTCTTAAAAGGCAGTACATATCGATGTCCACAGAATACAGGTCTATACTTTCTGTGTTCATCTAGCTTTCAGAGCTTAAAAATCCTCGCTAATCCCAACAACAGATGATTTGTAGAGATTTGTCTCCTTGAACCATTTTATAAAGGAGTACCAGTTTCTTATAAACCATGAACAGTCTTAACATCTTCATTTTGAGCAAACATGAAAAGTCAGGACAAGACAAGGCCTGTGGGGAACTGTTTAGTTTAGGTTATCATCGTTAGAAACACACAGAGAAATATGTCTTCCCAGCAAACAGTAAAAACCTCATTTCTGCAGACTGAAGTAGCAAACAGTTCCTGAAGTTTATATTAAACTGGTTGAGTCACATTCAGCTGGGTACTTCCTAAAGCAGCACAGAACTTCAGCAGAGCTAGGCCTCTTCTGCTGTTTTACTACATGAGCATTTAGGAAAGGCTAAGACATGGAACTTCACTTCATATTTCTCAGAAAGTGAAAAGGCTAGAGGGCCATCTAAGCCCTTCTCTCACTCTGGAACACGTAACGTGCCTAACGCAAGATTACCAAACATCGGTTTTCTACACTAAGAGAAAAACAAAAAACACCTTTCTTTCCCAATCCCATCTTCTAGATTTATGGTGGATGCAAAGCTTGGAGCTGATACAACATCCTCACCATCTAGACTTCCAAACCCACAGGTGTCACTCACTGCTAGGGGAAACGTGATTTTTCCATCTACTGCATCCTAGTTTATCCATGCCAGCCACTGATGTACAAAGGAACATATTTCACAGAATTGCTTTATATTAGTTACAGAAACCAAAGTGCTCCTCTATTATAGGTAGGATATTGCCAAGCATATCATGATTAAAAGCGGATATGAGTGTTTTCACTCCTGGCACACACGGGACAAAGATCAGCCTGGATGCAAGATACCGCATGGGAAGTGAACTCCAACGCTAGACAGAGAACATTTATTCTATTTATTGCATAACAACAAAGCTGTGCCAGAGCCCAGCCAGATTTGTGCCGAGTCCAGTAATCATCACTGAAATGTACAGTTGACTAGAAACAAAAGTATTTAAAGCAAACAGACAATATCCATTGGACCAAAATCGTCTCAAATTTTGTTACCAGGAGGCTCATTGAGACATCTGTCATGAGCATCTTCATCAGTAACTCATCTTTAAATTCAAGAGCTCTTGGATGACAAACACTGCTGAAGCAAAGCCGTTTCACGGCACTAAACCGCAGCAGTCTGGCTTGTCAGTGCTGAATCAGCAGCACGAGAAACCTCACCTCTTAGCACTTTGTAAGAGGATGTCAGTCCGATCCACTACAGTATTTGCTATTTTGATTATTTTCTGAGTCACCAGAGGCCTCCGCAGAGGGGACAGCTCAGCACCTCCCTGGCAGCAGACAGAGCCTGAAAACGAAGCAGGACCTGGGGGGCCCGGGCAGGAGAGAAAACTGAGCCCCAGACCCGGGTGCCAAGAGAGACAAGAAAATGCAGCAGACTAAAGCCGAAATGCACATGTGCTAAACATCACTGCTGCTCATGGCAATTTAACTATTAAAAGTAAAAGGAGGGTGGAACTAAGCAGCAGCAGCGTTGTAAGGTGGAAAACAAAGCTTCAGGGATACCAAAACAGAACTAACGTAATGCATGTTTGAAATATTTTCCAATTGTTTTTACTCTTTCTGGCGATAGTAGATTTCTCAATATCTACCTGTTTTATTCTATCTTGGGACTTAAAACAGCTGTAAGATGCATCTGTAGTCTGAAGCATATAAAAAGAAAACTGCTTATTTCAGTCTCTATGTAAAACAGTGCAAGCAGAGAAATACATGTACTTGGTGGGAATAAACATGCAAAAGATCACCACATCTGCACTACTATTCATTACAACAACAAAGCTTTAGCTTTAAGTTCTGAAGAGCTGCCTAAAAAGGCAGTTGAATCAGTTACATTTCATAGGCTACACAAAATTGAAGTGCCAAAACTTAACCTGTGGCTATCAAAGGACATAATAGTTGCATTTAAAGTTGAAAAGAAAGTATTTTCAGCGTCAGGCACATGACTAAACACCTAAACGTTTCCTGACACACCACACGCATTTATCTTTTTGGAGGGGAAAGATGGACAGTGAAAGCAACACACCTGCCCAGCCTGACTTTTTAAAAGCTGGTAGCAAATGTTAAGCAGCGCTGTGGTTTGGCATGTTACATTTAATTCCAATGCAAGGCATCTGTGGAGAAATTATAGATGAGAGAGCCAAAAAGGAGAATGTTAACATTGTTACTATTCCTCAGATAGTCCTGACAAAATAACTCTGTCTTTTTTTACAGTGTTTCCCTAGATTTGGCCTATTGCAAGGTGTAATGAAGGTATTACTGAATTGTGGGGATATCTAAACACTATGCATTTAAGGGGCTACATGCTAACTAATGTAACTTTTCAGGCTCAAGTAGAAGCAAGGCTTTTTTTGGCAAATTATTATAATAAAAGGCAAAGGAAATTTATAGGCAGTGGAAAACCACTGGACTTTAATAAAAAAAAAAAAAAAAAAGACTAAGACATAATGGGCAAGTTGGCATATTCAATAGATAATTCCAGAAAAAAGTAATGTCAAATACAGATTTTTAAGTGCAATGCAAAGCTCTGTCCTGTAATCTGTCACATATTTACTCTCCTATGTAGCCTTAGATAAGCTACTTCCAGTAAGCAAAAAGAAAACTGACATATCTGATCAGGTTGAGGGTTTGCTTCGTTTTGTTTTAAACAAACTGTAAAAAGTATTTAGTATTTTAGTTGTAAAGCAAGCAGCATGTTTTCACTCCAGTCTTTGTAGCATCCAACTCTTAAATTTTGTTTGCGAATGATGTGATTAATCTGACATCTCCCATATACCGTATTTTGACCTTAAAAAGATCAGAGCTCCTCGCTTCAGTGTTCGTGTCATTCCCAGAGGTGCATTTTCCCAGATCACAGGAAGAAACCTGGACTGGGGGAAGAGTTGTTCTCTGTGCCATGCACTACAATCTCAGTTCTCCCAAGGCGAAAAAGGAGCAGCTGAAAAACTTTGCTTACTCCCCAACAAAGCCAAAACAAATCTGTGACCAGAGAATAATCTGCTCCAAAAGCCCTCCATACGTAAGCAGCAAATGTAAAAGCTGTTAGCCATGTTACCCTCTTAAAAGGGTTACAAACCTGTTAGTTTCTGTTTAAGCTGAATTACATTTATAACAAGATATTTCAAAAGCAGCTCCTCAGATTTATTCTACTTGAAAACTGAGTTAAAAAAAATTAAAGATATTTTCAAGCACAGCTGAGGCAAGGAACAGATGACAGGTAAAAAGAGAGCTCATTTAGAGGTTTGCACCCACTGCCTCATGGACATGCAGCCAGCAGTAATAAAAAGCCCCGTCTCCAGTACAGCACATTCACAATGCAGACAGAGTTGTTTCCCTTCCAGTTACAGAAGGGCTCCCATCTCAGACGCTGTTCTCCTGTAAACAGCAGCAACGACATAAGCAGCAAGCTTTTCAGTTATACAGCTGAGTTGTGATTAGAAAAACAAATAGAATGTAAATGCCTGGTCTCATCTTCATACATCTTTGAATTAGGACTCTGTTCAAGAAAGAAAGGTGTAAGAGACTGTATGCGTAGGCTTCATGCTTTCTCCCTACGCTAACATGTGTTTAAATTTGCAGTAGAGGCAGCCAGCCATGAAGTGATTACAAGACACAGAACTCGACTGCTCTGCAGATGTTTGCCTAGGTGAGCTAGGCCAGCACAAGTTTAAAGGATGGAAAGGGAAATTTACATTTTTTCAGGGAGATTAAATCATTTCAAAACATTGTTTTCTCATACTGGTCCATATGGTTTTACGGTTTCTGTTTCAAGTTGCGTTTTATAACCATATTCTCTACTTGATCAACATATTTCCAAGTATGTTTTAGAAGCAAATATTCTGAAATGGATTGAGGGATTCTTAACACGCTGATCTTACGGCAGTGCTATACCAGGGATGTAACTCCTTATAGTGCAAGCACAAATGAGGCATCAAACTTACTTTTCCAAAGAAGCCTTTGAAGAACTTCCTTTCCTGGAGGAACAGGGGGGACAAGTCGAGCGCTATTACTGTAGGTAGCTAAAATGTCCCAGGGTTTGAAACCAACAAGCACACACAAGAATAGAGTTTGGAGGGAAAGGAAGGGGTGTTTAGAGTTATCCATAAGAAGGTGCGACAGGCAAATGTGAAAACAATCCCATGAAAATGCAGATAAAAGGGCAGACAGAATTCTAATAAGCTACTGCTCTGAAATTGGTGGAAAGAAGAGAACCTCAGCCCCAATTTCATGCAAAGCGGTTACTTTGTTTTCACTCTCCCTTGTTTAGTCCTCTTTAGTTAGGTTATAAACCAAACTTGGCAGCAGACGTGGTGGTTAAACAGTTAAAATACTGTATTGCGGTGGCCCTCGTGAAATGCAAAGTTCTAACTTAAGTTTGCTTTGCATTGATCAGTCTTAGCCAGAACAAACGCCTTGTAAGCTGAAGCAGCATCTCTCATTACTGGTATAACACAGGGTTAAACACTGAAAAAACGCTTTTGTGCTTTATTTTATTCCATTTCATTATTGTTTTGGTTTACATGCTACTCTCACACTTAGCATCTTATACAGTCTTCTCTGAATAGTGAGGAATTTCTTCTATCTTGAAAGTGATATAACCAAAACACAAATAAGATCCCTTTCCTTTCATGCTATTTAAAGCCTTTCAAGGCTGCATCTTTATACAAACACTAGGTATTCATTCTACAACTCTGGATTTATAGGTTGAATAAGACCTTTTTAAAGTCAGCTCTCAGAGGGAGAAGTTAAGCCAATGCAAAGAAGTGAACTACAATTTCCGAAATTTCTTCAGGGTGGAAATGACTACGCTGATTATACAATTCACATTAAAAAAAGGCAACACACACTTTTAAGCGTATTTGCATGCAGTTCAGTTTACTGACTTCATTTTGTTACCAGACTGTAAATAGAAAACTGCCAGCTCTGTGTGAACTGATCTCATGGGAGAACACTTTACCAGGCTTGCTGTTCTCTGGGCATAGCTAAATGCTACTCAGTATTTGAGGGAAGGTGGCTATGACCCATATCATTGCTTTTGCTGTCTTTCCAAATAGTTAGCTTGTAAGGAAACCATGGTATAGCAATAACTGGAGAAGTGGAGAATAACTGGAGAAGTGGAGAATTCCACGTGAGAGAGAGAATCTTTCTGACAGCAAATTAACAGCCTGTAATTCTGACATGCTGATTACTGTTAAATAATAATATATTGAAAATATTACTACAAATATCCTGAGACCGCATCTCAAGAACTGATTGATAAACAAGGTTATATTTAAAACAAAGCTATGGTTCTGACGCAAGCCAACAAAAAGTCAGGAAACACCAAGTTAAGAAGGGAGTGTCAATCTCAACTTTGCATTTCCTGACTTTTGTTGCTGTGTATCTCTGTCCTATGTCTTTCCACAGAGCGTTTAAAAAGTATCTACAATGTACTTGTCTCAGGTCACACGCCGTTTAAGACCATCTCGAACTTCAGTCAGCTGAAAGGATTAAAGATATTTCGAAGCAAGAACGGTCATATATTTGGACAGGATACACTGAATACTAGAAGGGGAACTAATGGATTAATCACAGTGTTGTGTACATAATGAGGAGGGGTTGGATGCTGCTGCCAAGTTGAGCTTGCATTACATTAAATAAAAGCTCTTTAAAGATAGCAAAAGCTAAAGAGATTCACCAGAAGGGCCCTGATTTTTAGGTGATGGTTAATTTTGCTCTCAACAAAATGCTTGTTAAACAAGATTTTTTTTTTTTAATAAACCAGAAACCGGTTAATGGAAAAGGTATCATGCAAAATGGGTTTTAAACAACACTAAGTTAATGTAGTTTAGAGATAACTAATGCATGTTTTAAAATATTAAATTATGTTTCTTTACCTGCTAAAACAAGAACATATATTAAAACAAATGCATCATTTAAAACAAAAAATGGCAAGTTAGAAATCAATACTACATACTAAAGCCGATTTAAAATCAAAACATGACATGAGAGAGTATTCTTTTGTCTTTATAGTACCTCCCAGTAGCTGAGTGAAACGTATTCACAAGGCTACACCACAAGGCCCTTACAAAGTTAGGTTGCAGCCTGCACTAAATATTTGTAATTCAGTTAAATGGGTTTGGAGAAAAAGCTGCTTAGTGTCCAAATGTGAGGATCCTACCAGATATGAAATGTATCCACAGTTAATATATCTTGCTAAGGGAAATATGTGAACTATATTGGTCAAGAATAAACCCAGATGTTAATAACAGAAGGTGATAGCTGAATACATAGGTTTCCAATCTGTTAATGCTGTACCGTACATGTGAAACAGTACTGCTGTACCATTTCATCCCTACATAAAAGAGGGACATACTTCAAGTTTCTCTTCATTCATTGGAAATAAAATGATAACCTGCTCTTCGTAGTATTGTTGGTATGCTATTTCAGAGCTATTAAACTGTACTAACAGAATACCTTATGAATGAGGATTCTCTAGCTATAAATGAACTTTTAGTCAGCTGTCAGTTAAACACTCCCAGAACAAAATGCTTACCCATCATCTGATCTTAAGTTCTGCAAGTTGCAGTGCTCAAAAGATAATTGTGCCACATCAAATCAGCATATAATAAAAAAACTGAAAAGATGTTTCCCATACTAAACAGATAGAAAGATTTGTTTGCATCTTTTCTTTAAAAAAGCAAAGCAAAAGTTAAGCTATTCCCAACAATATTAACACTGTTTTATATTCTTCTTGACAAATCCCATGAAAAAATTCAAAATCCATTAGCCAACCCTAAAAAAAAAAAAGAACAGATTTCATTTCCCCAAATGAATTGCCAAGTGCTGGAGAACAAGAATATGAGAAAATACATCTATTAAAATAGGTGAAGACAGACAAAACTTAATTTACTTAGTTTTTAGAAGCTACAGGACACAAACATATCAGCAATTCTGTCTCTAGGAGAGGAGAACTATTATTCTGTTGACTGGATTTACAAAACCTACAAAAAGAGAATGATAAAGATCAAAATAGGCCGTGTACATCTGGATGTACTTTAACCATATGAAAAGTGAAGTCCAATTTCCCTTAAGTCAGTCTTCTAGTTTAAGCACTGCAGCTCAAGCTTGTAATTTCTGCAAGATCAAGAGAAAGGCCATCAAAATAACCAAGTACTGTGAAAGCAAGAGTCTACCTAAGGAACAAACTACGTTCTTATTACATTCCTTGCACGCTGAAACATCATCTAGCAGTATGCCTTTTGCTATTTAAGAAAAGATATTGTACAGAAAAGTAAGGAGCTAGAGTCCTAAAAATGCTTAGGATCTAAAGAAATGCCCCCAAATTTAAAACCTATGTGCTAGGGAGGTCTTTTGAATTGCAGTGAGCAGCTTCAAATGAACCTTGGATCTCATGACGTCTAGCCATTGAAGCGCACAAAGTCATCTCAGTAATCTGAATCTTCCACTAAGGGCCCAATGAGAATTTCACATCTGCTTCTCAACCTCCAAACTGACAAATGAGACAATGGAAACAGCAATTGTAAGAGACATGTGCTCATGTCCAATTTATTTATAAACATCGAAACTCCAAACATGTGAAGGAATCACTGAGACTTGATAAGTTATTGCCATCCACAGTTTGGAATAATCACAGAGCACGGAATAGAGAGATGAAATAATTTACGCCCAGAGAAAGCACTGGCATGGTGTAGAAGTAAAATCTAAAGTCAAAGTGAGATATCTGACGTATGAACCAGTAATTCAGTTGATCCTGCAGTTATCCAGATTCCAAAAGAAACTGGGTTTTACACTTTAACTGTGCCTCATTATTTATAAGCACAGCTACATTTACCTGACCGGTAGACTTAAAGTTTATAAAACCTTAGAGAAGAAATACTTCACAGCATAGGTCCCCAGGGAAGAGAGTGAGAGAAATTACACAAGGTAGATATTGCCACACTATCTGGTACACCAATAGAAAGTATTCTGACACGACAAAAGCCAGAACAGAACGAGACAAAAATGGATGCCATTCATTATGTGGCCAGTACTTGCAATTTTAGCTATATAAACTAAATCAAAAGAACAAAGAAACTCATTTATATTTTTGTGGCCCTTTTTAACAAAATTAATCACCAATCACCGTTGGACTGAACGGGAACAGATGGGATGTAGCTTTAACAGGTTGCTCTACATTGGCTGAGAGAGAAAAGAATGAAAAGACTTGATTTTAATCAGAGCACTAAACCAATTCAGAAACTTTACAGCACAACAGAAGGAAGAAAAGATAACCTATAATCCTCTATTGTGTGCTAGGAAGAAGAAAAGACAAAGGGTTTAGTCGGAAACCATTTGAGCTGTCACGTTTGGTGAGGAAAAAAATAAGGTCCAGTAGCAGACATCTTAAGTTAGCAAAGATGCAGTAAAAGCGTTTGATTTACTTTACAGTAATTTTGCTGAGCTACAAGGATACAAGAGTTCCTTCTGCTAAAGGCATCACTGAAGAAAGGACAGAGCCAAGACAAATAACAGAAGTGATGAAAGGGACTGCAGTGCTCTATCACCATTCAGACTTCAGATTTTAAAGTCCTTTTTCCTTCTGTTCTCTTCAAGGCTGCTTTAGCCTAAGTTCCTTGACAGACTGACCACTGACTGCTTAGCATTTGCTATTTCCGCAGGATTTTGCGATATCACACAACAGGAAAGAGATGACAAGACCTCTTCAAATGAGTTGTAGAAGTACAAAGAACTTGGAACGAGTGCCGTTTGCAGGAACAAACGTCCACAGAAGCCACGCTAAGAGCAGCCCACTTTATGACACGTCAGAATTAGGCAGCCTTCAGGCCAGGCCACTTTGAGCAGATGCAAGCTGGATTATTTCATGCATGACTACAATGCTGCAGTGCATTAGAAAAAAGCAGTTTAAAACAAGTAATAATCAAGTAATGTTTTCTCTAATAAAGGTGAATTAAGTCACTATAAAAGTGGCAGGCAACAGAGGGAGAGAGAGGGAGGGAGAGAGAGAAAGAATTGTTACAAAAACAACGGCTGAAGTCCCATATGGGTACCAATTTAGTCTGAAAGGTCACAGAGGATTTTTACACATTTGTTTTGCAAATAGTTTCTGCAAGTAGAAAGAACAGTTGTAACTCTCTCCCTCTCATCGTCAGATCAGCACGTCCCCCTAGCCACAGCAGCGCTCTCAAACTGCCAACTGTTCTCCTAATGTAGGGTCAAAGGTTCAGGCTTTAACGGGAACGCTGCTGCCGAAAAGACCTCTTGGAGCGACACTTGCAGCCCCAAAGCCAACTTTCTCATGAAACAAGTATACATACAGATTTCAGTCTCTTCACAGCCTCTTCACAGATATGCATTCCTCTGGATTCATCCACTTCAACATGTCCCAGGTACTGCAGGAAAAAGAGCAGAGGGGAAAGCTTTAGCAGTAGCTCCTGAAACCCGCATGGTTTAAAAATTCAGTCTCACTCTGAATTCACCTCAGTACATCTGAGATGCTAGATATTAACAGTACTTTGCAAGTGCTCTGCTGAGACTTGTACTTGCATTATTATATGGGGCACCTGTGTTAGTAGAGAAGCGTAAGACATCTGGAAATTTTGAAGGAAAAGACTTTCCTTACTTGGGGGGAGAGGGGGGGGAGGGAGAAAGAAAGTGAAAAGTGGAACTCTATTTTCCTTCTTATTCAGCCGAACTTTGTTCACTTTTTTATTAACATATCACAAAAACTTTAGTCAACAGAGAGACCACTGAGAATAAATTACTTCTGAACAATGATGAATATATCTAGAATTGAAAATTGAATTACACTACATAGTAAGATGCCTAAATTTATTTGATCATTCTTGTCCAAATACAGTAATTTTGAATTTACAAACAGAACATGCATATTTTTACCTGCAAACTAAAACTGTTTATCTTCATTACAGCATCAGGTTCTTATGTGGACCAGAAGAACTCATGATTCTCATAAAATATTTTTTTAAATATTAGTTTCCTGTACATTTGTATACATATTGTATTTGATATATTGTATTCTCAAGCACTATTCTTGAATAGAAACTGCAAGCTGCAAGGCTTTTAAATTAATAACACTAACTAGCACTGTAATATTAGCTTATACAGAAAGCAATTTCAAGAAACATATTGGAGTGCAGCACTCAGAATACTATAGATAGTTTCATTTTACATTCCAAAAAAAAAAAAGTCCCATAATTTTTACAAAGTCTCCCCTAACTTTTCCATTCCTAGCTCTTTTTGATGGAGGAAGGAAATGTTCTCTCAGAAATGTTCATATACTTATTCAAGGTACTTACCTCTTCAAGAAAACCACAGAAGCTATTAAATAAATAGTATTATTCATGTAAAAGCTATAGGCCAGAAAGATTTACTCTGATTCACTTGGCCTTATGAGAGCTGTATGCAGTTCCTGCTCCAAAGAGCTTATACTCCAGACTAGCTGGAGAGTGAAGAAAGGGTTTTAAATACCAGAGTCAACACTAGAGGCACAGTGCAGTGCTAAACCTAGGATTAAGAATCACTTGAGAAGTCCCACCCCAGCACAGAATATTCTATTATCGCATATCTGAAATCTCTCAGTTTTTGTTTCACTAATTAAATGTACCATATTTATCTGAACTAGACAGACAAAAAAAGATTTCCCTCTTTAGCACCATATTGAAGTACTCTAATAGAGTAACGTAACAGATTCAACTTAGTGGTGAAACTCAGAAACAGAATATTTTAAAGATTTAATTGAAATTTGGAAGCTGCGAATGATAGAGGGTTCCAACATTAAGTCTTAATATGTGGCATTTTTAAAGATAGAGGAAATCTTGATGCAGCAGATCTGCAAGAATTTCATTTAAACCAGTCCTCGCAGTTAGAGAACAGCTTGAAAAATAAACTGCACAGAACTAGGAGGTAAAGAAAAAAAGCACTGACACTTTAGAGCAGTTTCAAAATGACCCTTGTGAGGCTGAAGCCTTATTGAACGCTGGGGCTGCCAAAACAGCGACTGTACTCCCTTAGCTGAGCTTTCTGGACCCTTGCACAGGATCCTCATTTCTTCCGAACACTCCCTAACTAGAAAATGTTTAATCCTAATCAGCTATCCTAAAATACACAGGTAATAACAGCGAACGATACATTTACTACATGTCTGGAAATACATATTTATATCAACAGCTATTGTAGATGGATCTTCAGTCCTGTTACGACTCCTCTGGAAACGGAAGAAATGCAGAAATTCTGTATTTGTGTGTCTTTGTCACTGGAAAATTCTGGCTTTTAGTAAACCGAGTTTGGCAACTTCTCTTTAAAAAGCAGCAGCGTAGGCAGGAATAAGGCTGAGGTTTATAGAGGAAAAAAAAGAAAGATCTATGCACAGGATGAGCACTCTCGTTTGCATTTCTCCTAAGTAAAATACCTTACAAATAGAGGACAACTTCCAGATTTCCTGAGCTATCTGCACATCTCATTTACCCGAGTGTAAGCAAAATGTTTCCATCTAAAGATCCAAACCATTCAGTCCCTGTACTTGGCAACTTGCCTCTTGCTTGGAGAAGAGAGAAACAGAGCAGGATAAACATTGCCTCATGTCACACTCCAAAAGAGACAACCATTTTCTAGTGTGTTGCCAAACCTCTATTCAAGTCACATGTTTGAGCTCTCAGCAATCCGTCATGCCGCGGCTGCTGGAGACAGCAAGGTTAGCTGCAGTTTTCAATGCTGCTTCCACTGCAGTGAATGGGGACATTATTACACGTATCAAGTGCATCTACCCACACCGAAGGAGTACAATCCACAGACCTCTCTGGGCATCAATCAATTCTGAATTATAAAAGAAATTACACTGCTGCACAATACTTCTTTATGACGAGGACAAAAGATGCTTTATTTGCACTTACGCTTTACACTTAATGTCCTTCATCAAAAAAACTTATTCTTCCCATTGCACCATTTCGCAGAAGCCAAAAGCTCATAGCTATCAATATCAGCAGCCCTGAACATCGTATGTGCTGTTTCAAAATTCTTCCTGCCATTTTCCAAGTTTTTGAAGTATCTGAATATATTTTAAAATTTCTTGTACAAATAACTTTCAGCAGCGCCATCAGAATGCTAATGGTCTCTTCTCTTTTGGCTAAGGCCCAAGCAGCAGCAGGTCCCCTTCTCAATCTTCAGGTTTATTTCTGAAAATTTTTTTCCCACCAGGCTGAGAAAAGATAGACATGGCTCCTGTATTTAACCAATGCTACAATAACTCTTACATATGTGATTTTAACTGGTAGCAAGTCAGGCTTAAATATTTCTTCAAGAAACTTTGCAGGCCGTTCTCCTATAGACTGAGTCCTTTTCTAATAGCCTCACATTTTTATCAGAAGTGTTAAGTTATAAATACGTCACTACCTAACTTAAAATTTGAAGTAATAGCTGAACTTGCCAGTGCAACAGCATTTTATAAATGATAGTTCAAAATTTAATTAGAGAAAGAAAATACAACTGCTAATTAGATTAAGATACGGTCTGCTCCTTACAGCTTGAAATGAAAGTTAATCAACAGAATTCAGGACTTGCCTAAAACAAACCACCACCAAAATCTGTTGCCCTGCCACTGCAAAGAGACTGCATGAAAATCTCTTTGAAGGGCAGATATACAAACCTCACAGGTTTATACACAATCCTTTAACATCTCTGAAGATAACTTATCTTCAAAACTAAAGAAGAAAAAAAAAAAAACAGTGCTTGGGCAGAGATTTGTCATATAACCACAAAGACCCATACAAATCCATCATGTCACATTATCACAAATGCATTCAAAGACGTAATTACTCGGTGCACAAAAGTCAATGTGAACAGCAGAAGCAGTACCGTGGTGGCTGAAGACTTGGCCGAACAGTAACAAAGGGGGAACCCTGGGCATATTTGTAAAGAGCTTTCCTTATCCCAAGGATCCCAGACAGCAACCTACATCTCTGGAGAAAGGGAGTACACTTCTACCATGAAATTGCAAATACCATGACTGCAGTATTAATACTGAATGCGTTCATACTTAACTTTCATAGCAACAAATGAATGAGAGCCCTGACACTGGCAATTCTCAGCCAGAAGATGTTCTATAGGAGATTCAATCTTTATGCTAGAAATTAACCAACGATGCTTTTAGAGAAAACTAAAATCCTTGTGGGCCCACATTTTTATATGTGGGTCCACATACAGAACAACATAAAATAAAAGCTCTAACACAAATAAAATACCTTTAGGGGTTGTTGGAGAAATCCTTAATACAAACATGTTTACTTAAAATTATTGCTTATATTTACATTTTCAGAAAGAAAATTTGATGAGATGATGGTACAGCGAGTAAGAAATTCAGTCTTCGCCTCTAGACAATGAAGTTTATGTTCTCTTTCACAGATGATGGTGTTTGCTATCAGTTTTAGTCAAACGCTAGAAAGCAATCATCACAGAAACAAGTCAAACCGGCACACAGCACAACGCCCTCAAAACTTGAAAAGCACTTTAGAAACTTAACTCTTTTTCAATGTTTTAAATCTTTTCCACCTTTGTCTAAAAATGAGCAACTTAAATTGTCACACGGAGTGTTTCTGGTGAAGCTGTCCTACTGCCTTCCAGCAATTCCATATCACTGAAACTGTTCCATAACAGAACGCCAAGGGTTGCTGGATCATGTCAGAAGAGGTGCTGGTCAGCAATGAAACAGCTCCACTATCCATGCCCTAGTACTATAAATACTATTTGGTCTTCTTTCTTTGTTTTCTTTTCTTTCACAAAACCTTGATTAACTCAGTTTTCAAAGTCAAGAACAATATAGCTGGCAAAAGAAAAAGGTCCTTCACCAGAATTCCTTCCACCTAGACAATTCACTGCAGCCAGTTTCCTTCATTCAAACCCAGGAACATACTATTACAGTCCCTCTTCTAAACAGATGCGGCTACACAAATCATTGACACCATCTCTGTATCCGTAGGTGTTCACATACACTGTTCTAGTTGCAAAAACAGATTAGGCTCTTCAGATTACATTTGAAACTATATGGACGCTGGAAATGAGTTTACCCTAAGTCTCGGCCAAGGTCTTCCTCGTTATGGAACTAGACGCCATAGAAAGAATCACATCACCATTTTCTTAGTGTTCTTCTTAGAGGCAATGACATTCCTCTTCCTTCTTCTGTGTAAGTACTGTTCTCTCTACAACTGAGGTATTATTTTTAATATTAACACTGAACTAACTACTTGGAGTCTTCATGTGCAGCTATGTATTGCTCAAGAATTAAAGCCAGAACTCCCCAGCTACAGGTGAAACGTTGTCTTGCAACTAGACACAAGCCTAAATCCAGAAAGCCTGGATTCTACTTAAAGTTGAGCTACTT